TGAGCGTGGGGCCTGGTGAAGGAGGGGGGAGGGCCCGTTTTATCCCCCAAGCGCGCGTGCGAAGGCGCCGGCTCTTTACAGCCCCTGCACCGGGGACGGCGTGGCTTTGCTCTGCCGTCCCGGGTGCTCCACGCGTGCACGGGGCCGCGGTTTCGGGAGCTCTGGTTTGGGTGCTGTTGGTGGCCAGGAGCCGACGCTGGTTGCCGCTGCCTGGCCTGGCCCCCCCCCCCCCCCCCCCAGCCACCCGCTGCCAGCACCGGGGCTTTGCCGGTGGCCGGGGGAGTCGCGTCCTCTTCCTCACTTGGCTCTAACCAACCCGCCTGGCTGCCTTTCCACCGCTCCCCCGAGCATCGTTTCATTGCGCTTACCTCCAGAGTACAGAAACTGTCGTTGCACTAATGTGGCTTACTCCAAAGTATCAGTACCATTTCATTTTCCCTGGCTGGAAAGTAGCGTGTCTGTCTTTCAACTCCAGCAGTCTCAATGGAGCCATTTTTTAGTGTCCGTTTTAGTTTTACGGTGGCCATGGTAAAGTAACAGCCAAGTGCATTGTGAATTGTAAGATGTGTTTCGGAGCCCTGACCAAATGACACGGATGTTGATTTCAAGATGATTAAAAAAACAAGGAAAAAAACCAAACCAAACTGAAAACAAACCAAAACAAAACAACAATAACAAAAAAACACAAAAACAAACAAACAAACAAAAAACAAAAACAAACACAAACAAACAAAAAAACCCCAACCAAACAACAACAACAAAAATAAAACAAAGAACAAAAAACAAAACACACACACAAAAAACCCCACCAAAACCCAAACAAAACAAAACCAAGAACCCTTGGGTTATTTTTATATTGACTCCTAAACTGGCGATCTGCTTTTAACAAGGTATCCTACACAACCATTGCCATTTTGTAAGCTGAAGCATTATGTCTGCCTTAAGGCCTCTGGTTGGATTTGCAAAACATGTTTTCCACAAAGGGAAGAGGGGAGGACCTCTTGTGTGAACAATTTCCTCAAAGGGAACACAACCATTAAATTTTCTTGTTTCTATAAAATGTTGCTTTTGCACAAAAGAAATAGCAAAAATTCCTGCAACTGTTCAGTTGGGGTAATTTTAGGAGTTATCAGCGAGCAAAAAGGAGGGGAAAGGTCGTGTTGTAATTAAAAAAAGATTGCTTCCATACTCCTTAAAAATTTTGTGCATCCTAACGATGTCCTGCATATAGTTTAAGGCTGTAAAAGAGCTTTGGGAGACACTTTCTCGGTACTTTCCAGTGCTGGATCAAATACTTCTTGTTTCCCTGAAGTTTTCTATTACTGGACGTGCTTGTGTGGGGCTTTGATAGAAGAAAAGAAGTTAACAACAGCTCGCCCATTAGCATCCAGAGATACTGTTGGAAGGCAGTGCAAGTCCAAGGTACTGCCAGCAAAACGGTCAGGGAGTGTCCTGTGCAGCGGCTGCCAAACACAAATAATTTGCTGCATGGGGTTCCGTGTTTGGAGATGTTGTGAGCTGATTAAACTCATTAAAGTGGTTGAAGCAGTGTGGGTGATACTCGGAGAACCTCATTTAAAATTCATATTTTCCTAGGGGACGGGCATTAGTCTGGGCCAGGGTCAGGCCAATGGCTCAAGCTGCCTCCCCTCCTAAAAATGTGGTGCAGCCAGGGCTCTGGCAAATGGTGCCAAACCTACACGGTCAGCATAGGTCTCACTTAACTAACTTATATAACTTCTAAGTCCTTCTCAATGATTATTTTGGGTGTTTTCCACAGACACACTGCATCTGGTTGTTAGTGGATTTTTAACTTCCTACACATTTATTTCATCAGCTGTCTCAGTGACTTTATATAACGGTACATTTGTTATTTCCTTATTTATGTTTTAAAAAAGATGCCGCCTCTTTGTGCCAAGGAGAGCGCAGGCTGCTGGCAGCACGGTAGTTTATTTTTGCATCCTTGTTCCTTTGGTTTTGGCTGGTGACCATCGCTAGCTCCACAGTGCCCAGGGTGACATCTTAGGTGTCAGCCAGGACGGTGTCTTCGCCCCGGTGCTTCGGGTATGTGTCAGGTGTGGGTGGCCTCTAGCTGGCGGTGGCTGCCGAGCTGAAAAGCATGAAGTTTTAAATAGCTAAAGGAGATGCAATAGGAGCTTTTTAGCTTACCCAAAATTGCCATGTATGGCTGGAGGCAGGAATGACCGTGGAGATGGTAAAAGGGAAGAATAGTGTGTCCCATGATGTTGCTACATGGACCAAAAAGAATAAAATACAGTACTTTGAGAGAAATGCATGTCCAAGTGGAGAATGACCATCGTTGTAGCTTCCTTTACTTTACAGTTAAAGAAATGTAAACTGCTCTTCCAGTCTTAAGCAAACAGAAGAAGCTCCGTGTTTATATAGTTCCTTTCCAGGTCAGTGCATCACCCCAGAAAAATGGATTTTAACTTTTTTTTTTTTTTTCCCCCTAGCTTTTCTGGCCGTTTTGTAGACATTGGAATGGAGGAAGGAGAGAATGTAGAGAGAAAATTAGCCTTCAATTCCCAAAGCAGCATGTTAACTTTTGCATTCTTCAGTTCACTTCTGTTCTTTTATTGAGAAATCATTTAAATAATAATGCTTAAAAAAAAAAAAAAACACATTTGTGCATCTTGGATTTTTTTGTGCTGTCATTTGGTTGGTTGGTTGTTTTTTTTTGGCTGTTGTCGTTCGGAGAAGATGAGTTCCTGTCAAAAAAGAGGCTAAAAAAAAAATGTTTGGATGCTCTTTTATTCCTGGTGAGGTCTAAAAATAGAAGCTGATGAAGAATTGCTTGTAGACTCTCTGTTCCGATCGGAGGGTTGAGCTTACGTCTAACGTCGCGTCTTCTGAGACTGCAACAGCTGAGCTTTGCAGAAGCATCAAGGCTGGGCTTACTGGGCATAAGCAGGGAGGAGAGCAAACCTTTTTATCAGCCCCCTTGCTTCCCTCCTCCTGTCTCCATCCTTGGGCAGAAGACCTTAACCTGAGCACCAAGGCACAGCACAAAAAAATGCACGTGGAAACGAGAGTGAGACGTAAGCGCTGGGAGCACAGGAAGGATGGTGGGAAGAGGGTTGAGGTTTTATTTACTGGCAGCGCTGCCATGCACACTGGTGGTGTTGAGGGGGATGGGTAGCATGTAAATGCAGCCTCACGTAGTTTTTTTACTTCTTCATATAACTAAAAGACTCGGCGAATGTATTTGGGTGTCGTGGTATTGTCTCAGTTTAGCGGCAAAGTATTATCGTCGTCGTGACCACAGTTTGCTGTCGTACTTTAAAAGCTTGGTGCAAATTGTGAGAACAGAGGGAAATGTGTTTAATCTGTATTATAATGTGTGTAAGCCACATTATACGCTACTCAGTGATAATGTATACATGATGTAATCTGTGTTATGGGTTACTTGATAACGAAGGTGGCCACTCTGAAATGGTGTCAAGTCTTCTGCGCTTTGGGGTCACCGAGTCGTCGTGTCCGGGTGCTAGAGCAGTGACAGCGAGGAGTTTCAGCACAGGACAGCCCAGGACTGTGGGGAAAAGTCCCTTCACAGGTGCTTGTGAGGGGGATCGGAGGAGAGGTGTTGTCATTAAAGGGCTGCCCCTTTCCCAGGCATCAGCGTGCGCTTCCCCCTCCCAGTGCCTGCTGGCTTCGAACAGAAGCATCGCGCATTGGGGTGATGTCTTGATTTCACACTTGTGAAACCAGTGCATTGCTCCTCAGGGTTGCTTAAGGTGGGAATTAAAAACTTGTTTTAAAACAGCAATAGCTGTATGTTGGGCTTTGGTGTCCTCTGCACAGCGTTAGCTGTTTGGGCGTATCGGGTGGGAACTGCAAGTGCTGGAAGATGGCTCAGGCAGTGCTGCCTGTGCCAGATCTGCTGCCGGTTGTCTTACTGGTCTTAACCTGACTGATGTCCCATGTAGCTGCTTCTCCCTCTCCCTCCAGTTTGTTCCTGGAGGAATGGCCTGGACCTCCCCATTGCATCCCTTCTGGGTGGCAACATGCTTGTAGATCGGCTGAAGTTGGGTGTCATACTGCGCCCCTGGCTTGGGCAGGGGCCAAGCTGAGTTGCCAGTAGCATATGTCTGCTGGTACGAAGGTGTGATGGACTCCGAGATCTGCATGGAAGCCCCTCCATCCCCTGGCACTCAACCAGGCCAGAAAATGGGCCAAGACACAGCCCCCCACTGCAAACCAGGTGCTGAGTTGTGTCTGAGCTGAGCATCCCTGGATAAACATGCAGGACAAGATGATGTTGTGCAGTTGCAGGCAGGCAGGCTGGTTTTCCAGTACCTGGCATGTATGGTCAGATAATTGTAAAATTCCTACCCAACCCCAGACAAAATCCCTGTACCGAGTCCTCTGTCTTAGTGCAAGTCTGTGCTGGGCTGGCCTGATGCTGCAGGCTGGGTGGGGAGGAATCTCATCCCGAGAACCCCACCAAATCAACAGAATCCGAGCATAACCCACACCAAGGGTTTTCTTGCAGCGCAGGTGAGCGTGGCTTACTTTCTGTTGTCGGGTGCCCTCCTGCACCAGCCTGTTCCTTCCTCACCAGGCTGAGGTGCTGCCTTGCTGCCGGCTCCAGTGGGACCTGCCTCTCCTCCGTGCGCAGAGACCCCCTGCGCTGGTACAGGAGAGTGCCTCCGCCGTGCCAGAACTGGAAAGCTTACCAACAACTTCTTTTCTTTGCAGTGAGCCTGAGGGAAGAGAGAGCCGGCGTGGGGATTGCCTTTCCTCCCAGCCGCTCGCGGTGAGCTCTCAGGTGCCGGAGGAGCAGAGGGGAGAGCTGCTGCGCTGCGCTGGGGGTTTGGCCGGTGGGGTCCTCACCACCCCGCGGCAGAGACAACCAGCTCCTGCACGGTAGATGCCCGCAGGGGAGGGGACAACTCCAGCTGAACTGATGCATCTCGGCACCTGGTACCAGGCTCAGGTAAGGGCATGTTGCTTGGAGCCGGGTTGTGTTTCCACGTTCCCTTCTCAGAACCCACAAACCGGCTCCGGAGCAGATGAGAATTGCTCCGAGAGCTGTCGTGTGCTGTAGGCACACATGCTAATAAATCAGCAGGATCTCGTCTGCAGTGATGCTGGATGCTCTGGCTTTTTGGGACGTTGCCGGTGGCGTGAGTTGCAGTGGGGGTTCTCACTTGGGTGTTCCCAGCGCCTCTGCTAAGGGAGGTGAGCGTGTTTTTATCCAGTGCAGATTCGGACACAATACACGTTTACTGACGTGGGAACTTGTTTGAATTTTCTGCACCACATCTGCAACTCGTGTAAAGTGATCTATGAGCAGTCACTCTCAAAGGACCTGAGGCAGTTAAAACATAAACCTCCTTGCAATTCAGCTGTCTTAGTGCTCCTTCCACTCTTAAAAAAAAAAAAAAAAAAAGTTTATTTGGTATGCTCCTGAGTTTTTGTTGTAGTCAAGGAAGTAAACATGCAAACAGGATCTCCTGTATCTTGGTTCATCCTGCGTGATAGTAATTTCATTCCTAAAGTCGTAATTCACTTTGCGAGCGCAAGTCAGATTTCCTTTTTGATAGCAGGGTCGTAAGCGGGTGCCGGATTCGGGCAAAGACTGGTGATGTGCAGCGCGGCGCTGTGTCGTTTGAAGCTGGTGCTCGGCCGGGGTGTGCAGTCCGGGTTGGTTAATGAGAGAGGAGCTGCGCGTGGGGACCAGCAGAAACCCCCGGTGCGGGCGCGTTGGGTGCGCTGTCCGCGTTGGGGTCGCGGTTGGGGTTTCTGCGATGCTGGCAGGGGGGATGCTGGCCGGTCTGGTACCGAGGCCTCGGGAGCAGCTTGATTTCCGTGCAGCAGCAGCTCTGCGTGGCCGTCACTTCCTCCGGCAGCTCGTCACGGCCCCGGAGCGCAGCCCTGCGTGCCGGCGCCCGTCTGCACCGACCCCCGGCTCTGCCGCCTCTCGGGGGCGGGGGGGGGCGCCCTGAGGTTTCCTTGGGCCGTGGCGATGCAGCCGAAGCGGACCCAAAGCCGTGCTCGTTTTGGCTGCGCTGGGTAGGTATGTGCAGTGCCACAACCCCGCGGTTTTGCTTTTGGAAGGCTTTAAGCACCTGGGAGAGGAGCCTCGGATGTCAGCTCCCTTCGGCTCCCGGCTGCTGGCTGTGCCCCCCACGTTATACCACGCAACCAGGGTGGGGAGTTTGCTGTGAGCCGATAACCTGCACGGTTTGAAGCGTGGCAAGGCGCCTGCTTCGTGCTCTTAAAAAAAAACCCCGGCAGGGTTTATTCAGCTTTTCGCAGCTTGCTTTAGCCGCTCTGCAAGCAGACTGTTGCGCTGCTGGCTTTACTCCAGGGCGTGCGAGCGCGCGAGCGACCGGCACAACCGATGGCGGCTTTGCAAGTGAGAGCAGAGCTTTGCTGGGATGCGGACTGCAGGTGCGCCTCCTGCAAGGGTCTCGCCTCTTAGCAGATGTTGTACGAGCATCTCCACTTGCACAGATCCACAAGCGTTCCCTTGAAGCCTGTTCCCTTCAAGGAGAAATTTTAGGCTTATACTATAAACAGCTAAATGTATAAAATGCTGTGTTAAAATGTGCGTTTGAAATAGAACATGAAACAGGAACAGCGACTTGTTGAGTTTCGGCAGTGGTGGTTGTGGTTGTAGCAAGTATGTACCTTTTTTGCTTTATTCCACAGCAGTAGTTTCAGTCTGACACGGGCCAGCATGGTATTTCAATGCAGTGTGTCAAAATTTGCCTTTTTTTTTTTTTCGGTCTTAACAGCAGTCTCTATTAGTAATTAATTGGGCACATTCAAGACTCCAACACACCCTCACCTAAAGTCATTTCTCCTTTTTCATTGACCTTCTGCTTGCAGTAGCATGCAGAAAAAAAAAAATCATATATGGTTCCATGGGCTTGGGTGCAGCTGGACGGGAGAAATGTACAGTGCTGTGAGATGTTACTGAAGCAAAAATGCAAATTTTACAAGTTTTGCCCTGGAGATGGAGCATGCTGAGTAGGGGGTCAGGTGGTTGAGATGCCTCTGCTTGGGGGAGGTAACTGTTAAGATTTTGTAACTCAACTGTATTTGACTGTATGCCTGCATTGTGCTTGTCTTTAATTTGTTCTAACTGGTGGGTGCAGCGGGGACTGAGAAATAGCCAAAATGTAGAGCCTGTAATCTCAAGTGGCTTGAGTAGATAATTTTCAGCAGTACAAAATAGTTAAAAATTGGGTTCCAGAGTATCCCCAAATCCAGCCCAAGTTTGAGAACATGGTGCTATGCTGTACTTCCTAAAAAGAGTAGATTTTACTGGTACTTTCATTTTCAAAAGCCCTTCTGCCAAGTGACACTGGAGCTGCAGTTCACCTTGCAGCCAAATGGTGAAGTCGAGCGGTACAGTCTGATGCTAGCGCAGCCTGACAGTATAAAACCAGTATAAAAGCATGTCAAACTTTTATATTTTCATTGCAAGGAGGCAGAAAGGACTTGAAGAGACTGAAAATTCAGCAGCTTTGGCGCATATGGGTGCTTGGTGGCATCACCACAGCTGCTCCATTCAGAGGCTGGGAAGCTGTTTTCTGGGCAAGGTCCCACCAGTAAAACCGCTTTGCGAGGCGGGCTCGGAGGAGTCAGATCTGGAATCAGAGTTGCAGTGAATTTCGGGGTGGGCGTCTCGAGACATGATGATGGGGAACCACCTGCAACCCTCTGCAGGGCCCGTCAGCTGAGGCTTTGACGTCTCAGCTCCAGTCCTTAGACCACCTCCGTTTGCATTTTTGACGGATTAAATCCTGCGTACAGGTCTCACGTCCCGATGGGGCTTCATGAAAGTTTGTCCTTGTTTCGTGTAGATTGAGCAGCGGGGGGGGGGGGGGGGATGTGCTGCAGATGTGGCCTCGGCAAAGCGATGTCTGTGGAGCGAAGTGGCAGCGCCTGTGTGTTCTGCAGGTGGTGGCGCGGGGGGGGTGAACCGGGCAGGGCGACTGCTAATGGGTTTGCAAGCGAGAGACGTCGTGTCGTGGTTGGGGGTGACAGGGGACACGCGTGTGTGTGTGTGTCCGTGTCCGGGCCCACGGCACGAGCAGCACTGCAGCCGGGCCGTGGGAAAGGCTCAGTTCCTCTTCTGGGCAGCAAGCAGGGGTGCAGCAGGCGGGGTGGGGGACTGGTGGCCAGAGGTCCCCGTGCTCCCAGCCAGGCTGGTCCCCGCGGGCTGCGGGAGCTCGGCAGCCCTTACTGGAAAGCACGGGTCATTGCGGGGAGGGTTGTAACGGTAAATCTGAGTTACGGGTAACAGTTTTTGCACCCCGTCTTGGACTTTTGATGCAGACGCTTTCTTTCCACTGCCAACACTTGATAGCCCAGCTGGTGAATTAATTTCAGGAAAGTTGTTCTCATCCAAAATTTGGATATTTTAATTCAGGTTTGCCGATGGCTAGGTAGTGTTCAATGTGCGTAGGCAGTAACATGCATTTTCATTACGCATCTTCAGGCTTGGTGTTTCTGGGATTAATTTTTACTTCCTTAAATTGTAAACTGGAAGCTGCAAGTTTTAGTGTGAGATGACAGATTGTGACTTTTTCAGCACATTCTTTTTAAAAGGAGCTAGTTGGTAACTTTTTTTCCCAGTTGTATTTAAGTGTGCATGGCTTGGGGCTTTCTGTTGCTTATTTCCCAGTAAATTTATTTAATACTGTTCTTGCATTGTTCACATTTCTTACCATTCCTGTTCATAGCTGCTTCAACTTGCGTGTTTATCATGGAAAAAAAAAAAAACTGTTTTCTGGGAAAATACAGTACTCGGAAAAATTGGATGGCAGGCTTGAGAAAGTAATTTGAGTGGTATATTAAAAAAAAAAAAAAAAAAAGAAAGTCTTCAGTCTTATGTAGGTAGATAGAGAAGTGTGGCAGGTAGAGGCTGCACCTGTTTATAGGTAGCCTATTTATATCAGGGCAGAATTAGGTATTTTGTCAAACTCTCCAGAAAATAAATGTCTCAGTAGTTTTCATATACACAAGGTGTCATTTCCCTCCAGCAAACGCCACAACTTCATGGGGCCAAACTACTCTGGAATCTGAGTATGCGCAGAATTAAATAATAAAAATAACCATATTCAGTATCTATGGTCAACATAAGCTGTTACAGAGCTAAGCCATATACTGTTTCCTCTCTGGAGTACTTTGAAAATCACCGAGCTGAGCAGCGCAGCGTTGCCTTTGCACTTCAGAAAGCAGCAGTAGTGCAGTCAGACGCTGGGGCTGGTGCAGCCACTTGCCATCTCCAGCCCTCCCACTGCCATCAACCATTTTCTCTGCTTTTCATGTTTTTTCCTAAATTGGGTCTTTTGTGCTGTTATACTAGAAAGATGAAACAAACGTGCATATTCCAGGCGTGAGATGCAAAACTGGCTCCTTTACACCAGCCTGGTGGTTCTGGCTGCAGGGAGGCTTTTGAAGAGGTGTGTGCCAAAATATATATTTATGGTCTTGCTGCTGTCTTCTGCTGTGTAAACCCTCCCGTGTTATCGAGTCACTCTTCCTTTGGTTATTCTATTACAGAGTGTGGTCAGAGACATTCAGAATAACTTCCACTTTGTAAATGTCTTGAAAATTTTCCCATTTAATTTGCCATACAGTTTATTTTTTCCCTCTAGCCTGAAGAATAGTTGTAATTTTAGCGGCACGTGAAGGACCTCATTTGAATTCTTTGGCCCCATAACAACCAAAAAACAACGTCAGAAGTGGGGGAGTGAATTTGCCTTTGAGTTGAACTTTGCAGAAGAAGGATGTGAGAAGGAGAAGATGCAGGTATATTAGATGACACTGTGAGACAGTTACTCAGACCTTGCTACTTTGCAAAATGAAGCTGTGATTAACATGCATTCAGCAAAATTCTTACGAACTTTTGAAGTAAGAGCTACACCTTGGAAAAATTAGAGAACAAAATACACTTTAATTTTTCTACCCTTGGTCTGTTTTGATTGTGGAGTCAGTAACGGGGAAAGATACACCTATTCCTGCCATGAATTTGAAGAGTTTGGTTTTTTCTGCTGTCTGTATAGATGAGTGTAAAGCAGTAAAATTCCTGGCCCCTTGGCTGATAACGCGTCACAGAAGAGCTGCCCTGATAGCCTTGATTATTTTGTACGTGTTAATATTTCTATCACACCGTTGGCAACCAGGAGTGATGGCTGCTTTTGAAATTAAGAGTCAGGGAGAGACGGATCTCCCAGCTGTCCCCATCTGTGCCTGAAAGACCTGATGGCAGCGAACGGGCTGCATTAAGGAGTTGGTAAGATGAAACAAATGATCGCTTCTGGATGTCTGAAAGTACAGAGAAATGGGCTGAGCCTTGGAAAGCGCTGATGCTTTTGGTTATCATACCTCCCCTAGTTTTGGGGGGGTTTATTGCTCTTTTTTTTCCCTCCTCAGTGAAAAGCCATGATCTTCAAATCATCCCAAGTGTAACTCCTTCAGCTGCCCTGGCTCGTCCGGTGCCAAGCACTGCTGCCAAGAAGCAGCTTCAGCCAGAAGCTGGAGTAGCGTGTCCTACAAGAACCCTTCAGGTTCCTCCCGAAGCGGGCTTGGGATGGCTCCTGGTGTCCATTAGAGAGCTGCAGTGGCAGCTTGGAGCAACCTTGTTCTTGAGCAGCTATTGCACAGTGTTTCATCTGTCGGCAGCAGTGCTCCTCTTCTCTGCAAGGAGGTGGTCACCAGCGCTTTGGGAAAGGACCAGAGCACAGCAGCGCAGGATTTACTTTCCAGCTTTAGGTGCAACACAGGAGTCAACCTGCTCTTTTTTATTTTCAAACGTTTTTTTCAAAATTCTGTGATTTCTTGTAGGAGGCTTTCAAATCTGTTCTGATCCCAGATGCTCCAGGGAGCTCCTTTCAAGCCCTGCAAGAAACCTCTGGACTGTATTATTGAAGCTGTTTAGCTTTCAGATGTTCTGAGTAAACCACGGGATCGTTTGTAATGTGACGGTAGGGAATATATTTTAAGGCTGTGGTGCCTCTTAACAGTTTGTTCTCAACACTGCTGAATCTTTTTACAGAAGGCAAAATAGGCAAAGCCTCCTTAGAGCAGGCAAAATGCAGTCTGCCTCTATAACAAGCCATTCTAAGAGGCTTTATACTCTTGAAGTGCTCAAAAACTTTTCCAAATGTTGCCACTTGCAACTGTGGACTAAAATTGTTTTTACCTTGCTGTTCTTGAAAGTGCGTGGCATGTATCTGGGACCTGTGGCGAATCAGCAGGACTCTGAAGGACAGAGCCAAGTAGGTGATAACACAGCATGACTTCCCCGCGCTTACCCTGTCCGCACTGAGCAGGGTTTAGAATTCACAGCAGAAACGTGGGGAAAAACTTAACCCGATTTAAAAAAGCTTTAAAACAACTCGGCACTGGGGAAGGGGAGGACACCAGGAAGGTGTGTAGCTCTGGGGCTGGCTGGAGCTTGTCCGTTTACGGAGCACTTGGGAGCGTGATCAGTGGGCTGGCGATGGGGCCGGGGCCGCTGGTTGCCCGTCCCCACGGCCGGGCTCCATGCCCGGGCACTGCAGCACCATCGCTCCTGGAGCCTGGAGATTTGGGCAAGGTGGCTCCTGTTAGCCGGGCTTTAGGTGGTGCCGTAGCCGTTAGGTGCTCTGGGCTAGGCTGGTCCTGCCTCCATAGAGGTTCAGAGGAGGAAGACTTGGTAGTCCTTCCTTCTGCCCTCTTCTTTGCAGCCACCCCCGGGGAGTGTGCTTCCCTGGGGATTTTGTCTGCCCGTGTTTTCTCCTCAGTATGTTAGATCAACCTTTTCCTTTGGTGAACAGCAAGAAACTAGTTGTGGCTTGATGGGAAGGGTGTTCCTTTGGGCTTGTACAGGACAACACTCAAATCACGTTTGATGTGGAAAGTTATCTTGCTCATACATACGTACATGGGACAAAGCAGAGCTGTGGGCAGAGACCTCAGGGAGCTAGGCTGGATCTCGTTTAGACCAAGACTGGACCATCTCAGAGTAGATGGGGACTCTGCAGTCATGTTGCTGCTGTGTTGGTTTTCTTTTGGAGGTGCGTATAGAAGAGTCATCTAGAGGCCACTTGTTCCATGCACACTTCAATAGGCAAAACCATCTCCTTTCAGTTCTGCCTTTGAATGCCCCTACAGAGCATCTCATGGCTTCACATCCATAGCTGAGGGCAAGAGCGTGGTGGTTTGCTGGCATCCACACAAATCCTATGCTTTGCAGTGCCCAGCTGCCCCCGGCCTGTGTGCTGCAAGGACTCTGTGTCCGGTTCGCATGTCTCGGTTTAAAAGCCCAACGTCTTTTGTACAGGCACGTGTGTGCCTAAGAACAAAGGTCTTGTTTTCCAGCAGGCACGACTTCCCCTTGCTCAAATTCAGTTGTGTCCCCAGGCAGAGAGCGGGGAGCTGGCAGTCCTGCTGCAGGCAGGCAAGCTCCATACATGCTTCGTACAGGGGCTTTTCAACCTCAGCCTAATTTTAGCTATGGGATACGGCTGGAAGGTAAAGTTGTCAGCAAAGGTTTTGTCAGCAAAGGTTTTTTCTATTAGCACTTTCCTAATATATTTCCCATGCTGTCTACACATTTACTTATCTCTTCCCCCCCTCCCTTTTTTTTTTTTTGCTTTACAGCTTCTGACATGAAGAAAGATATAGAGTCTTTAATAGTCCAAGAAAAAGAGGAGATCATTGCCAAGTATGAGAAGGTACCAACCTTGTGTTTCTCCCCGACATGCTGGCTAAGGCTGAAGCTATTTAATTGTTTAGGAATGCTTCAGATAAGAACTTTTGCCTCACTGCAGGCATCTCCCCAGTAACCCTCATGCCATCAGGCTTCATGCCAGCTCTCCCTACCTGCTTCTGCCTGCACATCCCTGGATTCCTTGCAGATCCCGTGCCTGCTCAGCACACCTACCAAAAGGTCCTGGGCTTCTAAGTGCTTCAGTGCTCTCTTAACACCAGGATGGCTTATGCCTGACAGCACTGGTTTCTCTGATGTACAGCCCTTCCTAGCCCACAGCAGTGGCACACCAGGGGATGCTGGATAGGCTGAACTTGGGCTTTTTTGTCTTGCCTGCATTATATTTAGAGCAGGTTTTGGTCTCCTGGCTCTGTGCCTTCTAGTGTACGAGGAGGGAGGGATGCGGACACTGGGGGCGGGATGTGGGCACTGGGGCATTCCCAAAGCCGGGGCCAGCTCACAGGTGTCCTTTCTGCTTTCAGGGAAGGCAGGAGGGAGCTCAGATTGACCTGTGGGAAGATGCTGATTTCACGCTCTATAAAGTTACAGACCGGTTTGGATTCCTGCAGTAAGTCATAGAATCACAGAATGGTTTGGGCTGGAAGGGACCTTAAAGCCCCCCCAGTCCCACCCCCTGCCCCAGGCAGGGCCCCCTTCCCCCAGCCCAGGGGGCTCCCAGCCCCGTCCAACCTGGCCTTGAACCCTTCCAGGGAGGGGGCAGCCACAGCTGCTCTGGGCACCCTGGGCCAGCGCCTCACCCCCCCCACAGGGAACAATTTCTGCCTTAGATCTCACCTAAATCTCCCCTCTTTCAGTTTAAAACCATTACCCTCATCCTATCCCGACACACCCCTGATCCAGAGTCCCTCCCCACCTTTCCTGCCCCCACTTTAAGCCCTGGGAGGCTGCTCGAAGGTCTCCCCAGAGCCTTCTCTTCTCCAGGCTGAACCCCCCAACTCTCTCAGCCCGGCCCCCCAGGGGAGCTGCTCCAGCCCCCCCAGCATCTCCGTGGCCTCCTCTGGCCCCGCTCGAGCAGCTCCGTGTCCTTCTGCTGTTGGGGGCCCCCGAGCTGGCCCCAGCACTGCAGGGGGGTCTCCCCAGAGCGGAGCAGAGGGGGAGAATCCCCTCCCTGGCCCTGCTGCCCCCCCTGCTCTGGCTGCAGCCCAGGGCACGGGTGGGTTCTGGGCTGCGAGCGCACGGGGCTGCCTCACGGGCAGTTTTCCCCCCACCGACCCCCCCAGTCCCTCTCCTTGGGGCTGCTCTCCAGCCACCCCTCGAGGGCCCAGCCTGGGTTTGTGCTGGGGATTGCCCCGACCTGCGGGCAGGCCCTTGCCCTTGGCCTTGTTGAACCCCACGAGGTTTGCCCGGGCCCCCCTCTCCAGCCTGCCCAGGTCCCTCTGGATGCCACCCCTGCCCTCAGCGTGCCCCCCACCACACAGCTCGGTGCTGCCGGGGAACTCGCTGAGGGTGCATCGATCCCACTGTCCCTGTCACCACAAAGATGTTGAGCAGTGCCGGGCCCAGCCCCGACCTTGAGGAACGCCACTCGTCACCGCTCTGCACTTGGACATGGAGCCACTGACCACAGATCTCTGAGTGTGAGCACCCAGCTAATTCCTCATCCACAGAGTGCTCCATCCACCAGATCCATGTCTCTCCAATTTAGAGACAAGGATGTTGTGCAGGACAGTGTCAGATGCTTTGCACAGGTCCAGGTAGATGATGTCAGTCGCTCTTCCCTTGTCCACCAACACTGTAATTCCTTCATAGAAGGCCACCAAATTTGTCAGGCACGATTTGCCCTTAGTGAAGCCTTGTTGGCTGTCACCAATCACCTCCCTATTTTCCACGTGCCCTAGCAGAGTTTCCAGGACGATCCTCTCCATGATATTGCCAGGCACAAAGGTGAGACTGACTGGCCTGTAGTTCCCCGGGTCTTCTTTTTTTCCCTTTTTAAAAATGGGGCTTAGGTTTCCCCCTTTCCAGTCAGGGGGAACTTCACTGGACTGCCACAACTTCTCAAATACGATGGAAGTCCTCCTGCCCTCTCCTGTCCTCTCTGACCCACATGTCTGGTGGTCAATGGACCATCTGTCTGCACCAAGCTGTGGTAGACCCAGCATCTCTCCTATGAGCTACTTGGTGGCTTGGCTTGATCAATCTCAAATGCAGGAGGAAGGACTAGATATACCTCCTTCCTCAGCCACATGTATTTCGAACACTCTAGTGCTTTGAGTCTGCTGCGAGGCAAGGCTCATAAATGGTCTTCCATCACAAGCCCTACGTCAGAAGGTTCAGGCTGGTGCTTCTATGCCTCCATGGAGGCCCACAGCGTGTTGCAGAGGGAGAGGCTCTTGCATTTGCACCTGATGATTCAGGGAGGTGTAGGAAGAGATGAGACAAGATGTCTGATAGTTCTTGGTTCCCTTAGGAAATCGCCATCCTGAGTGAGGTGCAGATGAATTAGATGCGCACCGTGTGCCTGGGGGAATGCTTAGAAGAACTGTTTTTATTCCAAATTCGAACAGAAAGTTATAATAGTAGGTATTATATGTGCAGGAGGTGGGTTTGAAGCAATTACTGTCCAGAAACCCACCACCCCTGCCCTTTTAATTGCTCATCATGTGTGGATTGAAGAGAAGCTGTATGCCCAGAATTTCCAGTGATGTCCAGTGCCTGATTACCCCCCAGCAGCTCTTGTACAGTGCTGGGGTTTTGGCTGGTGCATCCTCTGCCTTCTCCCTGTTGCAGACAGCTGTAGGAAAGGCACAAAGCCCCCGAGCCATATCTCCTCAAGGGGCCTGAGCTGCAGCACCCCACGCTCCTCCGCACCCTTTCTTGCCCATAGAGTAACTGGTGACCCCTTGCTTTTCCAGCGAGCAGGAGCTGCCGACCCGCACCGCCTTGGAGGAGAAGGTGAGAGCTGCCAGCTCTGTCATCATGGGGATCAGATCCTTACCGTGCTGGCTGGGGAGGGCATGGTTTTCGAGGAAATGGGTGTGCAAGCAAAAGCGAAGCCAGCGCCAGCTGGTCACTGCTGCTCGCACAGAGGCGGGAACTCCGCATGACGCCCGGCTGTCGGAAATTTTATTTCGCTGGGTCAGGCATCTCCCCTCCTCCACGCTGCACTGAAATCGCACCTTTTAAAGCAATTTTGGGCTTTTCCCTCTGCTTTGGCACAGTGCTTGAAAAGGGGTTTGCACACGCAGGGGGAAAGCAGTGGAAGTTGTTGATAACCGGCATCTCCATCCTCGTCTCCCCTGGGCGGGGAGCGTGTCCTCTCCTAGGATCCTGCTAACTGGGACTAAATTACATCTTGTGTCTGCCAGTCTGACACAATGATAAGATTTGAGGCTGGCTGACCCTGCAAAGATTTTTGTTGTCAAGGAATACTCCTCCTGGAAATTCTTTCTCAATTAAGCCTGTATGTCTCATTGGTTTTACCAGTGCTACTTTAATTACCACAGGTTGAAATTACCAGTTCCTGCAAGCACCTGTGGATTATCTCCATCCCCAGTGTGAGGTCTTTGCATAGAAGTATAAAGAGAATAAAGTTTTGTGTTTTCAGGAGGTATCTTCTGGGGCTTTTTTTTTCTTAAATTTGTCTTGTCTGTTTCCCCCTTGCACCAGCAAAAACAGCAGGAAATTGAACGTGTGGACAAGTGGCTAAAGATGCTGAAGAAATGGAGCAAATACAGAAACAGTGACAAGGTAAGGAGGAAAAGAAAGAACATGTTTTCCAGAGGAACAGGAATGGTGCATCCTTCCAATGAGTCAGCCTTTCAAAAAGTTGATAGAGAAACCAGAGATCACTGGAAAGTACTGCCTAATTCTACCCACTAGTCTTTCATATTTTAAATTTTTCCTTAAAGTTGCTGGGTTATCAGTTGAGGGAAAAGTCCTGTTCTGACTAGCGTAGTTGTAAAAATGGTTTCCTAAATGCTGCTGGCGTGGTTGCACTTGTGCTTCCCTGTGCAAGCAGGAGCGTAGCAGAGATGTCCATGTGCCTGGCTGGGTCCCCACCCTGAGAGCAGGGAGTCTTGCATGTCACAGGTTGCTTCTGAGTCTCCACCACCTGGGAATGGCATGGGAGATGTGACTGATACAGTCCAGCTGATATTCCTCGTAGTTCTCCCTGGAGGGAGAATTATTTGTCTAGGACATCACCTAGATTTTGTATTTTGCTCCTACCTGTGCCTGAGAGAAGCCCCTTAGGTGCTTGGGTGTTAGATTGTGTGCACCCATCTGTAGAAATCAAAGGATGGAGACACGGACCTTGTGTCTTTGCTTTGGTGTTCAAAATAAACTCTGCGGCAACGCCAATGCAAAACTGAGTTGTTTTTAATAAATAGTATTTGTAATATGTTCTTATTACAAACCTCCTGAAAGAAAAACCCCTTGCACCTAATGAGAGGACCCTTGCTGGGTAAGGAGAGGAGCATTATGCCTGACCTGCTCTGCTGTGGCACTCTGCACAGGAGAGGGCTGAAGCTCAGCACCACCTCGCCATGGCCTCTGCAGCCTTCTTGTTCAGCAGGAGGAGTGGAGTTTTTGGCTGTATTGCTTCTAGCTCCTGACAAGAGTCCTCATGAGAAACTTGAGCTCAGTTAAAAAGCTGTGCAGAGGATCTCGGCGTAGCTGCGGGAGGCCATCAAGCAGAGCATCCCACTTGCCCGGCCATCCAGTGATGTCAGGTTCACCCAGCCAAAGACCAGCTGTAGTCTTGTCCTTTTTTTTAAAAAAAAGCCTCAAGTCCTGTCTTTGTTACAGCAGGGATGGGGTGGAGATGGGCTTGGGCTTTTATAATCCCTCTGTTCACTTCAGGGTGGTTCTGATTATTTTATTCATCAGTGCTGCTCCGTCGGCAAAAACAGAGGCTCTCCCGTGGCTTTGGTTTTTCTAATTAGAAGTTAGCACTAATTGGTTAGTGGCTCTGGGGGTAAAACACCAAATTCCAGCAGGGTGCCGGGGAATTCCTTCAGGTCCTGGAGGATGTTGGGGATGGGTAATGATGAGCGTTTTTGGCATTCTTTGGCTTCCTTGGGTCAGCCGGTGGGGATAGACAGGATCCGGGGTGAGGGGTGTATGGAGTGGTAGTGATCCCCATCCGTCTTTTGGATTTACCCCGATAATTAGTGTGTGTGTGTTAAGCACGCTGCAGCCGCCGCCACGCAGGTCTGCTGGGTGGCGAGGGGCCAGACTGGCAAGTGTGTTTTCAGGGTCTTTGGGTCAGAAAATCACAGAGCTCTTGTAATGGAATAAATGATGTTATTTGTAACAGCCTGTTGATGGCTCTTGGGCACAGATGTGGCATTGTCCTCGTGCTGGGGAACTGGAAGTGGCCGCCCCCCCTCCCAGCAAACGGAGAAGCAGTGCTTGGCCCCAAGGAGGGAAGGAGCAGTCTGGTGACCCCAGGGACTAGAAAGGAGCTTTGGTTTCAGTCCCGGCCAGCCTAACCCCCTGCTGCCTTGCACCAGTGCACATGTGGGCAGGAAGGGCTGTGTGTCGGAGCAGCCCTACAGTGTTAAGTGCGAAGACCCCGAGAGGCAGAAAAAAAAAAGTGCTTTAAAAAAAAAATGTATCCTTAACCTGGATGTGCAGCCCCATGCTCTTGTGTCAGGAGTGGGAAAGCAGCTCGGAGATTCCTGCTGCCACAGCTGGATGCAGCTCAGACATGGCGTTTCAGGGACCTTATGCTGGGATCACAGTCATGCCCTTCAGATGGTTATGGGTTTTTTCCTAGCTAAAGTAAATGTGACAGGCCCTTGATCTGATTTTTCTGAAGCAGAGTGGGTTCGTTTTGTTCCCTCTCTGAGCACGCAGGCTGTCACATCTGCATTGCACATTTCCTGCAGCTTTGTTTTTGCCACTTCACTGATGCGATGGAAGCCTGAGTATCACAAGATAGCAGCTCTGTTATTTTAATAAAGATTAGGATGTCACCTCTGAAAAAAACCTCTTACTGAAGACAGGAGCCTTCCCTTTGATGTTCATTTTGATAGACTGGGCTTCATTAGAGGGAAGAAAATCTTGTTGCAGGAAGCCCGGGCAGTTTCACAGGGAAGCTCCCCTGTCTTTCACTCTGCTCGAGTGATGTAGAAACCTGTCTTATTTTCCAGGCTGGGACTTTCTGGACTTCAGGGCCAACCTTCTGAGTCCCAGTTCACGGGCTGGAGCTGGCAGGCAGCTGACCATATCAAGTGCTTGAAGAGGGACTCTTGGCTTATCCAGCAAGCTGTCGTGTTTTGCAGCATCTTAGTACCTGATCAGGGCTTAGGCTGTTGTCTCAGCTTCTGTGTGGTGAAATGTCAGCAGAAGGGTGGAGATTGTGTACCCGTCCCGGGCACTGGCCCCGAAGCCACCACCCACCAGCGTGCTAGCAAGCAGCTTTTTCAGGCTTCTGGCATGAGCCATCCCCAGAGAGCAGCAGGTTTGGCTTTCTGTTCCCCCACTTGCTGCCGGTGGGCGTCTCTGCATGCTGCTGGTTGCAGTCTGGGTGTTGTGGCTGCCACAGATTATAGGAAATAAGGCTGAAAAAACCCTTTTACAGGCCATAGCCTGGCCATACCTAAAATAATTCCTGGCATAACCTGTTTCAGGATGAGCAACAAATACAATTATCTTAATTAAAGAATTATCTAAATTAATAAACCTGGGATTCCTTGTGCTCATCACCACATCAGATCTGTCCCCATCGCTGTTCTAGACACATTTCATAGCAATCTGATTTAATTTCGTTAGCAACATCAGCAATTCCTTACATGGATGGGGTTAGACTGATGCAACCATGCCTTTTTCTGGCTGTACTTCCACAAGGGAAGGGGTACAAAAATAAAGAAGTCCATGCAAGGACCACACTGCTTTGCAGAGTTAAGGTATGTCTAACCTGCAGAGAAGTGCTGAATTGTGTAAATCAAGGTTCAGCACAGAGAGGCTCTGATGATCCGTTCCCTCTTCACTGTTGTTTTAAACCCAAGTTTCAAACTGACTCTGCTTGGGAAGGTTAGGAAATGGTTGGTGCCATGTAAGAATCTACACAATTAATGCCACACAGTTTTGCAGAGAAAAAAGAGGCTGTGCTGCATGCGCTCCAGTAGCAGGATAATTTATTCATCACAGCCCTGAAATAAGTGGATTTCAGCCAGAAGTATCAGTCCTAGGAAGAGGATATGACCTCTGCATCATTTGCAAGCTGCTTCTTGCTGGTGGGTCCTTTAGAGAGGGATGTCTTTGGCCAGAAATGTCTGGTTTTTAGGCAAAGCCTGTCTTTGTGTACGGGGGTAGCCTTGTCTCTGTTAAGGTCACGGGAGTGCAGGGCACTTAATCCAGTGAATGTCAGCAAAGCAGTTTAGGATGAATCAGGGATCTGTATGGACTGGCCCAGACCTTCAAGAGCAAATAATCTGCTAACAGTAGGGAGAGCCATCAGATGTTTGTCATGGTGGGGTCAGCTGAAGTCAGGCCTCCTGCCCGCCAATGCCCTGAGAAAGAAAGAGGGTTACACCTGGGAGCTGCAGGAGAACTTCTGCTGCTGGGTTTTGCCATTTTGGAAAAGCAGGTAGTATTTTCCTCTCCCCCAAAAGGTAGCCCTGGTAATAAATGTAAATGCCCATCCATGACACATCAGCTTTAGTATTTAAATTTGCCCCTGCTTTGCTACCAAAACACCTGCAAACCTGCTGGAACCCCGTCTGGCATAGCCAAGTCTCCAGCTGCTGGGACAAGAGCTGAGTTGGAGCAACCCGTATCCATATGGAAAGAAAACCATGCACAGCAAAGTCCAGGCTGCCAAGTGTCTTGCACGGCCTCATCATCCATCAGCTGGCTTCGTGGTTCAGAAAAGAAGTCCTCTTCTCCAGGGTGGTGGTGGTCATGGTGGTGGAGGCTTCACTCTGGGTGAGAATTTTCACAGTTCTTCTCCCCTGGTGCATGACTAGTGGAGGAAGTGAAGGAGTTCTTCCTCTCCAGAAGGATCACTCTTTGAGCCCTAAGGAAGGGGGGGAAGAGGAAGAGGGGCTGCCCCCACTTCAGGAGGCATATGGTGGATATATGAAGAGGCTTGAAAGTGAAATTGCCGTGCGTACCCAAAATTTGGGCATTACTCCTGCAGCCTCTTCCTGTTAGACCATGCACACAGCTGAGAAACTAACAGTGACGGGCTCCAGAATGTGAAACTGAGCTGAAATGTGTCTGTTCTGCTTTTAAAATCCAAACACACGCACCCCACACGCTCCCCAACCCTTTTTATCTTCAGTGTCTTAACTACTGCAAAAAGACGTCCTGTGTTTAAAGGCAGTGACCCCACCCCACTAATTAAAGACCTGGAGCACTTGGTTGGGTACTTCTCAGAGGAGATCTCTGCTGCAGGAAGGTGGAGCTCAGGTCTGTGCTTCTATAGTCTTCCCATCTACTGGAAAGAAAGTACCTGGGGAGGGGATGGATGGGGATGGAGTGACGATGGTCTCTGTGCCACCAGCTTTGTCTGTTAAAGCCTGGAGAGGGAGGATGATGCTATGGCAAAACCCAGCGCAAGTTTTAGACGTGGTGGGTTCAGTCCTTGGCTCTGCCACAGCCTTTCTACACAGCACCTCGAGCCATCGTTTCTCCATTTGTGAAACGAGGGGATGTCCGTTCTTCCTGCCGTGTGTTGGTCTGTCTGTCAGTCTTCATAAGGCATGGTCTAGGCTTGCTCTCTTCCCATCTGTACGGGCTGAGCGGTTTATCAGCGGCAGAAGATGGTGACGCTGGGGGTTGTTTTTTCTTCTCACGTGGAGCAGGAGTTGCCATCGCCTGCTGCCTTCCCTCCGTCCATTCATCCCAGCGTAAATGCTGCTTTTAATGGTAACTTCCCTGTTTTCCTTCAAGTTTCACAATGAAGGAAAATTGCTCATTTTTCCTCCATGTGACTCACAGCTCTGAGGTTTTATCACTTTCACGTCTGGAGGTGGTGGGAGGAGGAAAGCCCTTGGATAAATAACAGGGAGGCATTTCAGTTCAGTTCCATCTCGGCATGTTTTGTAACTCCCCTGTTCCTGCCACACTCTCATGCGGAGAAAATCAGTAGAGACATTTACTATATGCCAGTGAGGGTTGCAGTCATTAAAGTACAATACCAGCTCTGGGAATTCAAAACAAACTTATTTTTTTCCCACGGAGCTAAGCATCATCTTCTACCTCGGCAGCTGTCAGTCAGTCTCTCCTAATCCACTGGAAATAAATAATTTTTTTCTGAATTGGTGATTTTATCTGAATTGGCACGTGCTCCAGTTTCTTCATCCCATCTCAGCTTTTGCTTCATGAAGTCACGAGCGCTCGCAGGAGCCAGGCTTCCATGGGCGCCTCACCAGTACCACCCTGGGGACATGGTTCATCTAACCCCGTCACTTTGTGTCTCCTGATACACTGCACTTCTTTTCCTCCCGATTTAATGACTCTGGGAATGGGAATCTCTTGTTGACCTCCTTGGTGTTTCAGCCGTGGGGCTGAAGCTGTCTGCCATGGCATGAAGGTTTGCTGTCCTCCAGAACTGCCGCCTCACGTGAGCTTGGACAAGCAGGAGTCACTCCCCAGCTGTGCAGATGGTGAATTAGCGATGTCCTGCTTAAAATGCAGGATGCTGTTGAATAAGATGATGGACTTCCGTGGGCATGTCTTGGTTGTGAGATGCTTTTTAGGGTGCAGCTCTTATTTGGTGCGTACAGAGGGGAGCGCAGGATCCTGCACGGGATTTCTGTAGGGTACAGTCCTGGCTATGGATTGGACCTTCAAAGCCGGTGCTAAGCAGCATCTGAGGCAGAGCAAGCTTTTGGCAAGTGCTGAGAATGGGGTTTTAAATGTTGAATGTCCATTACACTTACAGGATCGGGATCACTGACACTTTTTGTGTCAGCAGAAATACTGACATATTTACCGTAGTGGGGTGGAAAAGTGTTCTGACATACATCTGTCTCTCTTAGTACTACATGGTGGTCTCAGCATTTATTACATAGCTATTTTATATACTTACTTTGACTGGGATAGTGGTGGTGTTGCTTTGCAGTCCCCCAGACTGTCTACTTGAGCCCCACCTCCTGTCTCATCTCATACCAGCTCTTTGGGCCAGGAGCTGTCACTGCTGTGTCTTGCTGCTGCCCAGATGGTAACGAAGTGAGGAGCGCGGGTCTGTGCTCTCGGCCACTGTGAGCCCAGGTGGGTTGTCAGTGCAGTGCCATGGTTATGGTCTTTATAACCTTGTGCATAGGCTGGTGTTAAAAAGTCAAGCTAGAAGTGAAAAAGCTGATGATGCGAGATGGGTCAGAACGGGAAGGTGACAGGAGCAGATGTTCAGCTTGGTGTAAGAGATGCAAAGGCAATGTGGCAGGACCACGTCTAGAAAACCTTCTACTAGGATCTTGATGCTTCCCTGTGAATTGCAGCCCTTCTCTTGCATCAGCTTGAAACGTGTGAAGCAGAACACCCTGTGGAAAAAGAAGAGGCATTTTGAAGGCGTTTGGATGCATTTGTACCCGGCAATGCCAGTAGCTCCAGTTGATTGCCTGGTTGGGCACTGCCCTGCTCAGCCCCAAGCTCATTCCCGTGACCAGGAATCCAGCACCTCTATCCTTCCCAAGGGAGTTGGCCTGGTCCCAAGGGTTTGCCGTGTCGCAAGGTAAATCCCCTCCCCAGCTGGAGCCTGGCCATGTGCAGCAGGTCCTTTAGCATACCCAGGGTCCTCAGGACCCTGGAGGAGTTGCTGCGGTTGGCTTTGTAGTATAGCTGCAAGGTGTTTTGCAGGTGGGATGAATGAAAGAGTGGAAAATGTTCAGAAATGAGGCTTTTTTCTTTTTTTATGAAGCTTTTTCTTTTAATGGGAGTCAGGGATGGAACAAAAGCTCTTTGTTCTCCATTGAAATTTAATGGTCTCTTTAGAGGGAGAGGGCTTTATGACAAATAAAAAGGGAAGAGGCATCTCTGAGACAAAGTGAACACATGCATTTTTGTCCCCAGTCCCTCTCCTTGCTTGAAGAGTACGCTGCACGTTCAGGGGAGAGCCCTTGGTGTACCCCACAGTCTCCTTTGCTGCTTGCCAAGCCTTGAGAGTTGCTGTGGACATCCCTGTGGCTCTCGTGATAAGAGCTCTCCAAGGGGAAAAGTATTTTTCTCCCAATTCTTGAGGATCCAGGTGAGAACAGCCATGCCAGGTCAGATCAAAGGCTTCGAAGCCAAGGGTGCTGCCTCTGGTCCTTGGAGAGTGCACAGAATGTGACCACTGAGATGGCACCTGAGATGTCTCCACATATAAAGGGGATGTGACTAGCTGTTTCTTAAGGTTTAAAGCATGAGTTGCGGCTTGAATTTGACTAAGTAGGTGTCTTTGATGGATGCAGGTGCTCAGCTCATCCGTCAGACTGGAGATGCCCTCTGCACCAGCGTAGGTAGAGGATGTGATCAGCTGGGGTGTCTGCTCAGGTGGCTGGTGATCGGCAGCAGCAAACCCCGGAGCAAATCTGTTCTGCCACCAGCAGGACCAGCTAACCTTGCACGTGTTTCCCTCCCTGCAGATGTGCCGGCGAGTATACAAAGGGATCCCGCTTCAGGTGCGAGGCCAGGTCTGGTCGCTTCTGCTGGATGTTGAGAAGATGAAGAAGGAAAATGAAGGAAAATACGAGGTACGGACTCTTCCTGGCAAAGACAACGGGAGCAAAGTGATGATGGGGCAGCTGGTGTCCTGGGGCTTCACCAGCTGGGGCAAGTCGGACCTGTGGTGGATGCAGCATCTCCATCTCCACCTGCACGGGCCGGAGGGAAACGGGGGTTCTTACAGGGATGCTTTAAGGGGCAGGGACACACATACAGCCCTTGCATCCTCCCTCACAGGGTGGTGGCACGCCGAGTGCCCTACGACATGCACTGGTGGGGGGGGGCGATGCTCTCCGTGAACCGCTGGGACTTTTGAGAAGGAAAGGCTTAAAATCAGTGAGGAGTGAAAATGCAGAGTATAAACTCCTCATCTGTGAGTGTATATCAGGCTGGGCCCTTTTAGAACATTAGCCAGCTGCTTTCCCCAATATGCTGCTTCCATTTATTCTGCTGGAAGCTGCAAGCAAAGATACTGTCGGTGTAGCTGCATCCTGAGGGCAAGATGCAGGGAAGAGGGAGGGGAGGCTGAGCAGAGGTACAGCTCGCAGCTCCCCGCTGCGGAGTAGCCACGAGTACCCTGAAGCAGGTAGGTGCTGGGTGGGGGTACCCCAGACCTCTCTGTGTGCTTGAAAATTTCCCTCCGGGTGTTTGGAAATGTCCAATAAGGTCAGAAGCCGTAAACCAGCTGGCAGTGGGTTGAGAAACCCACTTCTAAGGGGTGGTGTTAGGGCAGGTCTTGTAAGCTTGGGGGCAGATTTCTGGGCATGGGGTCCTGGCTTACAACCTAGATGTGCAGCTGGAAGTTGACTGACAGTGTCAGAAGAGCTTGGATTGAAGTGTCTTCTTTTATCTTCCATCTTCAATCTTTTTATAACTGTCTTGAAAGTTTCTATTAAAAATCAAATAAAAATAGTGTTTCTATTAAAAATCACTTATTTTCTCTGCAGATAGGAGAAAAGCCTGTCTTGCGCTGCTTCCTGCCAGAGCACTGCATGCTGCAGTCTTAGATTCTTTGGTATAAAATAAGTCATTTCTGTAGCGTGCATTGAACAAGAACCTGAGTGATGGGGCTTGCTGTATTTTGTGATTTTTTATTTCAGGCATCTCGGCTCCTTTAGGCTGCCTCTTCCACAGGCAGCGTCTGGAAGCCCTTGGTTGATAATTAACTTATTTTCCAAACTTACAGTCTAGCTTGCATCATGTACCCAGGCAAGGATCAGGGTGTTGTGGAGGCAGTTTTGTTTCAAAGGCAGGAGGCCGAGTGCTGCTTCCAGCAGGTGTTTCTAAAAATCCTTGCCTATTAAGCAGGATGATGCTGACGTTCATTATAGTTAGTGAAGCGTAGATGTTAATAGCGAGATGCTGCTGCAGGGACTTGGGGAAGGTGGGCTGGGCTCATGGCAATAAGCAGAGATAAGGAAGCTCTCCCAGCAGACAGATTCTTATCATGCTCCCTCCCTGGAAGCTGCGCAGGCAGGGAAGCAATCCAAACAAATGAAAGTCACAGGGGGTTTATCTGTGCTCTAGAGGGGTCTGCAATAAACAGGAGCTCCAGGGCTAATAGGCTTTGCTGGATGCAAACCCCCTACAAGCTCATCTTAATCTACCTCTTTTTTGGTGCCACCTGCTGCCAGTAATTAGCTCTCCCCTAATTTTCTCCAGAAGAGTCTCAGTGCAGGTCCTGGATAAAGGGGTTGGCTTTCATCAAGGGGCTATGCCTCAGCCCCAGCCCTGTGTCCTGGAGGGGCTGGTGCCACGGCCACCCCATCTCGCCTTGGGACACGAACCACGGCACAAAGGCCCCCAGCTTTTGCACGTGCCTTGAGGTTTGAGTGTGCTGCCTGGCACGTGCCAAGGGATTTGTCTTTTTTTATACCCACTACTCCCTCTGTAGAGATGTCACCTGCGCTCAGGCTGGAGGAGGAGCTGCTTTTCCAGCCACAGGGGACGCCTTGCTCTCCATGTCCGAGTTGCCTCTGGAGTGATGCAATTAGAAAGCCTGGACCAGTTGCTTCCGTAGTGCTTTATCTTATTCCAGCTGTCCTCCGAGTCCTCTCCATGCATGTCTCTGAGTCTTCCTCAGAGCCGTGGCAGCTCAGCTGTCCCTGATGCTGCAGGAGCCCGGAGGCTAGCATGGGATGTGCCATACTTGGTTTCAACATGGGTGTGATGCTCTGCCTCCCTGGGGTTTTATAGCCACAACTGAGAGAGGGCTTGAGGAGAGCTGAGAAGGCAGCATGAGAGACACGCTGGCTATGGGGCAGAGCAGAGGCATCCTGGCTTTTACCCACCACTTTGTAAAAGGTCTCTGGGATTGGACCTCCTGCTTCCCAGCCTCGGCTCTGCCGCCAGCTTGCAGGGCTCGCAGCGCTAGTGAGCTTGGCGGGGCATCTGTGGAGTCCCCAGGTTACTTAAACAAGGGAAAAAAGGAGAACAGCCCATCCTCAGCTTCTTGTTTACCATCTGCAAAAGTAATAAAGCCTCCCTAGTGCATGGGGGTGGCAAAGCGCTGTGCAACCTACCTGCTGTTCAGATGCAGTGATTTAAACACACACACACACCCCTACACCCCAAAGTAGGGTTTTTACAGTCTGTGGGAGATTTCTGTGTTGTTCTGGCAAGGAAAACAAGAGGGCCTTTAGCAGGGAAATTTGAGCTGAAGTGATCCGGTGCACATGAATAGTCGTCTTGTCTCAGGTAGTCTGCCTGCTTTATAGAGGGCAAGGAGCCATAGGATGCAGAGAGCACGGGATTTCCAGCAGGGAAATAATGTTGTTCATCAGATCTTCAGTCTGTCATCACTTTTATCCTCCCTTGTCTTGTGCAGGCAATAATTCAAAATAGCCTCTGCACTGTCGCTCCTCCATACAGCTGCTTTCAAGGCTGGAGTTAATATTCCTGAGATGCCATGACTGCCCTGAGCGTTGGCTGTGCTGGACGCTTCTGGGTGCTAGTGACCTTTTGATGTTCCCCAGAGCTGCTGTGGCCACCTCAGGAGGTCAACAGCAGCCTGGAGGCACCTTGTATCAGGCTGTGACAGGCGTTCGTAGGAGAGCAGCTGCTGGAGCAGATGATGAAGCATCTGAGCAGATGTGCTATTTTCTGTCTCCTTTGCGAGCAAGGAGAGGTCTTCACCCTGGGCTCCAGGCAAACTGGGCTTGCTGCTCATCTCCGCTACCCCTAACCTGCTGGTGGATCCCAGGCTGCCTGAAGACAGTCACAACACGTATTTTATTAGTGCAATTAACCCTTGAGATATTAAAGAAGGAGGGCATGATCACCAGCCGTGAGCTGAGATGCTTGGCTACAGCGTAATGGTCCTTGCCTGCGTGCAGAGGGCTGAACAGGGGGCTACGAGTGGGATTGCAGTGGGATTCATCCACGGAGGATCTTCAGCCTGGGACTCTGAGGGCATAATTAGTTGAGGTGGGCGTAGCTTTGGTTTGAATTTCCTTTCTTTTTTGCAGTGGACTTCAGTCTTTTATCTGTGTGACGCTGCCTTAAATGCTTAGCCAGCGTTGGGGGAACATGGGGATTCTTGGCTTTGAGTTTTGCTTTGGTTCTGGACTCTGACAGTTCCTTGAAATTTGTGCCAGTCCAAGGGAATACCACAAAGCTGCTTTTCTAGTGGAAACTCCCTAAACCTAAGATGATTCTCTTCTGCAGAGGAAGTAGTGGTTGGACATCACTTCATAGAGTCCATCGTAACGGTTTGGGCTTTATTATGAATAAGCCTCTGAAAAGCTCGGGAGCTCTGTGTGTACGTCTGTGTGTTGGTTACAGAAGTGTATTGCTCCTTAAGCACCAGCAGAGATCTTGATGCTTTATGACATCCAGACCAGGTACCACAAAGAAATGGAAATCAGGGTGGGATTCAATCGTAAAGGCTTCAGATGCTGAACACTTGAATGGAAATCAGAGTGGGATTCAATCGTAAAGGCTTCAGATGCTGAACACTTGGTATCTGCGTTGGAAGATGGGCAAAGGCTGGGTTGGCAGCTGCCACTCGTGTGCGTGTGGGGTTGTCCCCTTCTCCCCAGGCCAGCAGTGCAGGCGCGGGGCCGGGGGTTCACCCGGTCGTTGCTCCCCGCCAGGCAGCGATGGCTCCGCGCAGCTCGCAAGCTGCCACTGCTGGGGCAGGCGGCACAGCTTGGCGCTGCGTGGAGAGAGGTGGGGGCTGCGGCGGTGTCCGACCCGTCCTCTTGTCTGCCCCCCCCTCTTCCTTCCAGCAAATGAAAGAGCAAGCGAAGAGCTTTTCATCGGAAATCAAGCAGATAGATTTGGACGTTAACCGCACCTTCCGGAACCACATCATGTTTCGAGATCGCTACGGAGTGAAGTGAGTGCGGGCGGTTTCGCGTGGCTGTATGGGCGTTGGTGCTGGTGGGCGTGCGTGGGGTGAGCTGGGTGGGGTGCCCACCAGCCCCCTGGCTCAGAGCAGCTCACAGGAGAGCAGAGCCGCCTCTGCTCCACAAACCGTACGACCCACAGATGTTGGGCTGCCGATTCTCTCTTCGTACAGGTCCACACACCGGACCACGTTCAGCCCCAGTTCTTGAGACAATCATCAGCCTGTTGGGGTGCCTCGTTCCCTAGGGCGTGAGGGTTGCAGTTGCAGAGGGCTCGGTTTGGGATGGCTGGGATGACGGGGTGGGTCCGTCGGGAGCTGGGTGGGGTGGGGTTGGTGAGGTTTGACAAAGTGGCTTTGTCACTTGGATGAGTCACACGTGGCTGCCCTACAAAAACATAGAGTTTGCAAGGAAGCCTGTGCTGCGTGGCTACATGGTCACAAGTCCTTCAGGAAGGAGGGAAGGGAGAAAGGAACCTACTGACAAAATGCTGCCAGAGTTTTCCCCCAGGCTATATAACACTTGATGCCTGGGTGGTTGCAAGTCTATTAAAAACCCACCACCACTCCAAACCCTGAAGAGTGGGTGTGTTGAACACGGTGGGTGTAGGTGCATACCTGTCTCTCCAGGAGACCTGCTGGTGGAGCAGGCTGGTTCAGCCCTGCTCCACGGGGCCGCTGGTGACTCCCCCCTGAAGGAAGAGTTCCCATCCCACTTGCCCGCCAAGGTGCTTTCTGGTTCTGGGAGCCCTGCTCCTTGCAAAAGGCATAAGTACCAATTGGCTGGGTGTTTCCAGAGCCTTTGGTCTCTGTGCGTATACGTTGGTCTGCAGACGAAGCTGGAGACCTCACACTCAGGTGTTTTAATATCCTTCTTTCTCCCCAGGCAACAGGCACTCTTCCATGTCCTGTCAGCATACTCAGTTTATAACACCGTAAGTAGTAAGTTAGTCCAGTTAAAATGAATAGCATTGTGCTTTATATAAATATATATATATAAAGACTTTTTAAAACAGCTTTATATACATTTATATATGTGTATACATGTATGCTTGTGTGTGTATGTTTGTGTTACCACATTTAGCCAGTGGTAATTCCAATTTTAAGTCCCGATGCTGGTTTGTACAGACAGCTGCAAGACTGGCAGGCAGCACGAGACTCTTGGCACAGTTGTTTCATTCCCTTGTTCATTTTGTCACCTGGTAAATGACATCTGGCAGATGCGGTTTGGGCAAGTGTCAGCAAAGAACAAGGGATTGCCCTTTGGCTTTCCAGCGAGACTAGCCTCCTGGCTGAAGGTCTGTCTTGTTTCTGGCTTCTTGTCGTACACTGAATGGCATCCTTGTTGAAAACACTGATTTATTACAGCGAACCAGTCATTCTTAGCTGAAGGTCACGGGCAGAATAAGCTTAAATTAGCAGTTGAAAGAAGGGGCAGTTACCCCAGAAAGCACAGAAGATGCTCAGGGGTGTAGTCAAGGAAACAAAGACCCTGCCTTCCTCATTCCAGATAAATGCTTATCAGATTTATTTATTCTTTAATTACTTCAGTGCTCACACGGCTGAAGGAATCTAAAACAGCCTCAGAGCCGCATGCTGGTTTTCATCCCATCCCCTATTCCTTGAGGTAGCTGCAGGCACCTCTTATGTCGGGGTTTCTGTCTTTCTTGTAAGCCCCCTTTATATACCAAACAGCCCCAACTCTCAGCTTTTCTTCATGGGAGAGGTGTTCCTGCCCCCTGACCATTTTCGTGGCCCACCTCCAGAGGGGGCCAGAACACCTCTCCCATGAAGAGAAGCTGAGAGTTGGCTTTGTTCAGCCTGGGGAAGAGAAGGCTCTGTGGAGACCTTACTGTGGCCTTTCAGTGTATAAAGGGGGCTTACAGAAAGACAGAAAGACTGTTTACCAGGGGCTGTAGTGCCAGGACAAGGGGCAGCGGTCTTAAACTGAAAGAGGGTAGGTTTAGATTGGACATAAGACATTTTTTGGAATGAGGGGGGTGAGGTGCTGGCCCAGAGCAGCTGTGGGTGCCCCCTCCCTGGAAGGGTTCCAGGCCAGGTTGGACGGGGCTGGGAGCCCCCTGGGCTGGGGGAAGGGGGCCCTGCCCGGGGCAGGGGGGGGCACTGGGGGGGCTTTAAGGGCCCTTCCAACCCAAACTCCTGTGTGAGTCAGTGACATTGTAGATGCTGTAGACATACGGGAGCGGTGATTTTGGGGCATAAACGATAAAGACCTTGAAATGGGGGCAGACCTTGAACGAGGAGAGGGAAGCATCGGCAGCCTGACCTGCTGCTGCAGCTTGAGCACCGTGGTGGGGGCCTGGCGGCGTGGCAGCCCGTGTGCTCCTCTTGGCTCTTGCAGGAGGTGAGCTACTGCCAAGGGATGAGCCAGATCGCGGCCATCCTCCTGATGTACTTAAACGAAGAGGATGCGTTTTGGGCACTGGCACAGCTGCTGACCAACCAGCGGCACGCCATGCACGGTAAGGCCGGGCAGGGTGCGGGGTGGGGGGGGGCTCTTGCGGCGGGACAGAAGGCAGTTTAGGTTGGTCGATAGGCCTCCTTCCTCCTCACAGACTTGTTTCAAGTGGCTAAGGCTTAATTATGTGCCGACACAACCCCACTGCGGAGCTGGACTGCACTCATGGAGGCAGACAAGCTCATCAGAGAAAAACGTGGTTTATCGGCACTGAGCTTTCCCGCTCATTCAGTAATTAACACTTTCACAGAGGTGCTATCTTCCCTCTGGAGTGCCTTGCCCTTGGCAAACAATTAACTCAAGGTTACGAGTTTTTAACTCTCAGGGAAGTACATCCAAGAGCGTCATGTAACGCTCTGTTTTTAGCACGCCACAAGCTGCATGCCCTTGTGTTTTTATGAAGATGTAATTCCACCAAATGTGCTGTATTATTTTACTTCAAACACATTAAAGACCCTTTCATCTTACTTGTGGCTAGCAGTAATCTGTGCACGGAGGGTTATTTTACGAGTGGAGGGCTAAGCCTGATGGCTTAATAACTCCAGACAATTTTAAACGCGCGCCCTGCTAGATTACGGGGTGCTGCACAAGCTTGTGGTGTTCAGGTATCTTCAGCTTTTCTCTGAACCTCCGTAAGCACCCAGGTGTGTTCAGAGAGGGGTTGGCGCAGCCCAGGCTCAGGCAGTGGGGGTGGCGAGGGGGTCTGCTCTGCGGGGGGGGGAGCAGAGGGTGCCGTGGCCCATGGGGACGGGGTGAAGGGCCCCGGGAGGGATGCTGCGGTCCGGCCGACTTCAGCAGGCGATGGGTTTCTAGAAAATCAGTCTGCCCCCGTCACTGCTCCAGAGCTTTGCTGATTATTTTTTTTATTCCTCTCATCTTTTCTCATTAAGGTTTTTTCATTCCTGGATTCCCGAAGCTGCAGAGATTCCAAGCTCACCACGAGCAGATTTTAAGCAAACTGTTTCCCAAACTGAAGAAGCACATGGTATCTCTTTGCTCTCAATCTCCCCTTACTGACACCACGTTTTAATGCTGAAGCAATTAGCGTAATGTTCTGCCAAATAGATGCACAACCGAACGCGTTTCTAACCACATAAGACTGCTTCAGCTGCAAAGAGGCAAGCGTTTATTAGATGGGGTGCCTGAATGTTGCTGAGGTGAATGGTTACCATTTGCTTGCTGGTCATCATTAGCGAAGGGACTGCTGAAATCTAAAGGCTTCCTTAGGAAAGCGAGGCAGGAAGGCTCCCAGCGCCTGCAACAAAAGGCTCTGTTGCATACAGCAGCAAGGCTGGGCTCTGTTCTTCCACCAGCTGCAGAGCCCAAAGGGTGATGCTGGACTGTCTGGAGTCTTAATTCAATAATCATTAGCCCCAAGTGTTTGCATTCAACAGCTTTGCTGCTGTTTAAAGGCAGGAGGTGCGTAAGATTTGCAATGTGTTTTGTTGCTTGGGCCCGTCCAGTTTTTCTCTCTAGCAGATGGTACGAGCCCATTTGGTGGCTGGAGAAGCATCTGCAGGATGCATCCACTGCAGTCTAACATCTAGGCAACTATTTTGCAACACCTGCTGCCTTTTTTGTTGCCCTTTGTCCCCTCTTGCATTTGCTGTGGACAGTTGGTATTCTGCGGCCAAACTCCTAGAGGCTTCTGACGCTCCCAAGGGGCTCCCTGGCTCGGCTCCAGGAAAAGCTGTTTATATTGCCATCATCTGCAACAGCTCTTGCCTCATGCTGCAAATGAGCCAGTCCCAACTGTAAAAGTGAAACAGAGCCGGGACAGGTTTGCACTTAATTATGGGGTGGGGAGCGGGAGAACCTGTGCGGGGAGGATGGGAATAACTTTCTGAAAGCTGCTGGTGTCTCCTGGCTCCTGAAGTCTCCCCCGGCTCGCAGGTGCCCAGCACCAGCCGAAAGCACAGACTGGCGCTGGCAATCAAACCCATGGGCTTGTTTCTCTTCCCATCCCCACCACTTTGCAGCAGCGGCCACATTGACATTGTGCGTGTGCTGGGTGCTGTGCGTGTGCAGGGTGCTGTGCGTGTGCAGGGTGCATGTGCAGGGTGCTGTGCATGCCAGCACTGGCTGTGCCACACCGTCAGCCATGCCAGAAAAAGCAAAGCTGTGTGCAAGCGCTGCACCAGGCACCAGACAAGGATGGAAAAGTGAGAGACCAGGGTGCTGCTGGTGGGGTTTTTAAGAGTTTTTTGCAGCCTGTCAGGCTGTCCTGCTCCTGCAGCAGCCAGGCCGTGCAAATGAGGTAGTGCTAGCAAAGCTAGCTTGGCTGTGCACGTTTGGATTTACCTGTGGGATACTTGGGGTTAATAATTTTTGTGGTGCTCAGAGATGCTCACAGGGGAATTACTGTGGAAACAAAACCGGTGCTCTGCAAGGAGCCTGTGGTTTGGCTTCCAGGAAGGTTTTTGTAAATGCCTGGTGTAGATATTAGGCCAGAAAAGCTTCTAGAAATCCCTCTCCAAAGTTGTGACCGAGTCAGGTTCGATTAATAGCTTGGGCAAAGCCCAAAGCAGGGCTTCAACGTTATGGTTTAAAGCAGGGGCTTTGCTGGGAGACAATCCCCAGCCAGACCCTGCACCAGACCCCAGGGTTTGCAAACCGCCCAGCCAACCTCCCCGAAAGCCCAGGAGCTGCTGGAACCGCCGGCAGCCAGCCTGGTGACGCGCCGGTCTCTCTTTGCTGTCTCCTCCTAGGACAAGGAGCAGATGACTACGGGGATTTACACGACCAAGTGGTTCCTGCAGTGTTTCATCGACAGGGTGAGGATGCTCCTCCGGTTGCTTGCTGCTTGCGTGCACGGTTAATCCAGCCGCTTTTTTGAAAAAGTATTGCAATTTGAAGAAGGTGTTAATATTTTATAAGGCGGGATGTTATGCACACTCTGGTAAGGCAAAAAAAAAGTTAATCAGGGAGAAGCTAAAAATAACTGCATGTCACTGGTGACAAGCTAATTCCTGCTGCTTCATCACAAGCGGTCGCTGGGAGATGGCTCAGCAGCAGCAGTATATATAAGCTTCAAAGTCAGGAGGGATCTTTCTCTTGCCCACTGGCACCGCTGCAAAGGCAATTAACTTCCCTTTGGCTTCGGAAACAACATGGGGAGAAGAGGAGCTGAAGGCACAAGCCTCAACAAATAGCACTGCAGCAGCTGCTGGCAGAGGGGCAGTCTGGGCACTGGAGACACATGAAAGCGTGAGAAAATTACCCTGATTTGTCCAGAGCTAATTTGCCAGGCCCGAGCCAAGACTATTCTACTTTTAAGGGCAGTGTTGTGCCTGCACACTTGAAGACAAGGTCCAGACTTGCTAAAGTTTAGGACACCTGTGTGTCTCCAGTCTTAATTTTCTGTTGGGGGTCGCCTGTAAAGCAGCAGATGACCCCGCTCCCCCGGAGAGGGAACTCCCTGTTCTGCAGTTCTCACTAAAAGCTGTATACAGTGCAAAATCCCTTTAGCTGCAGTAAGGGGGTAAAAGAGCTGCAGCAGCCAGTCCTGACAAACCAGAGAGTAAGCGCAACATCCTAGATTTGAATTTAAATGTCACAGTAGGACTAGCATTAACTTCTGTGTTGGTGAGATGCCTTAAATCTGTTGCTGGGAGATGGTGGGCTGCTCCGTCATTATGGATATCATTTCACTCCTCTTTGTCAGATTGGGTCCGGGTGCAAATGAAAACCTCTTGCAAAAGTTTTTCTAGCAGGCAGAAATAAGCCTGTATATAAGGAAGACCACTTCTCTGGATGCCAAAGGAGTGATTTTTTTTTAATGCTTAGTGAAGCACCATTGGGCCTTCAGCCCTATCCCGTAAATAGTGGGGGAAAAAAAAAAAAAAAAGGTAAATAAATAAATTTTGGTGGATACAGGAGAGTGGTTTTATGTGCTTGCAAGGCTGAAAGATGGTGATACTCCCTCCAGGGTAGGGGAATCTGTGTAGTAGCATGCCTGTGCAGAAAGTTTATCCTTTTTCTGCATTTGCAGCCAGGTTTTAAGTACTTCCCTGGCCACCCAAGGGTATTAGCTTTAAGGCAAACCCATAGATGATAAAATAGGTTTTTGTTATAGATGAATCTTGGGCACCCAATGCCTTTCCCTGGCGTGTGTTTTGGTGTGAGGGGGCGTAGTGATGCCACCGGCCTCCGTATCATCATCCCATCCATCGGTGCTCCCAGGTGTGGTGCTAACGAGCTGTTCTTTCCGTTTGCGTGTTTGGCACAGACCCCCTTCACCCTCACCTTGCGGCTGTGGGACATCTACATCCTGGAAGGCGAGCGGGTACTGACGGCCATGGCTTACACCATCCTCAAACTGCACAAAAGTAAGGTCCCAGCCGAGCACGTCCCGTATGGCAGAGGTGGCCCTGTGCTGGGCCACCCTTGTGCTGCCTCTGCCCGCCTGCTCGGTGCCCCAGGAGGCACAGTCCCGTGCTGATGCTCCGGGGAGGAGATGAGATGCTGCGAGGGTTGTAAGGCTGCCCCCAGCACACAGCAAACCTCACCTGAAACACTCCCGGCTGCCTCTTTCTGCGCCCCACAGCTTTTACAACGGGCTTTTAGGGGCAATACAGGCAGCAACCCGCCTGTCTGCAAAGCTCTGTGTGGCAGTTCAGCTGAAAAGGCTGTGGAGGGAGGAATAAATCCATTAATATACTTCTAAAAGGACCAAAAAGCTGTTTTTCTTATTAAGGCAGTGATGTTTCTAGCTCAAGATCTTCGGGACTTTGAACCTCTCTGCTCCCAGCTTTGCCGCCCTGTTAGGTCTTTGATCTGGGACAGGAGTGATGCTGATAGTGCACGTTGGGAACCTTTGGGCCAGTGGAATTTACGGGACTGCATGTGTTGGCTTCTGCAAACGGCCACCCTGCTCTTCCTTCATTTGAGTGAAGGAGAGGCTATCCAGAAATACAGCTTCAAGCATCCCGTTTGTTTGCAAGGACTGGGAAACTGGCAGGCAGGCAGAAGTTTCATCCTGGCTGTGAAATCATCTCCCCTCCCTGAGGAATGTGTGGTGCGGATCGGCGTTCCTGCCTGCATCCCGTCCCTGCCCGCGTCCCTGGCGTGGGGCAGCATCCCTGCCTGTGTCCCTGGTGTGGGGCAGTGTCCCTGCCCATGTCCCTGGCGTGGGGCAGCGTCCCTGGTGTGGGGCAGCATCCCTGCCTGTGTCCCTGGCGTGGGGCAGCATCCTTGGCGTGGGGCAGCATCCCTGCCCACATCCCTGGCGTGGGGCAGCGTCCCTGCCCGCGTCCCTGGCGTGGGGCAGCGTCCCTGCCCGCGTCCCTGGCGTGGGGCAGCGTCCCTGCCCGCGTCCCTGGTGTGGGGCAGCGTCCCTGCCTGTGTCCCTGGCGTGGGGCAGCATCCCTGGCGTGGGGGCAGCGTCCCTGCCTGCTGGCTGCTGCAGGTTGGCCTCCCTGGCTGGCGACGGCGGCTTCCAGCAGTGGCTGTTCACTCTGGTGCTCAGGGTCCATCTCACGGAGCTTTTCCTCCTCCTAGAGGTATTGGTGAGAACTTCCAGAAATGGCCCAAAACACGCACCCCGGTCATCACAGGTCCCAGCCCCAGCGTTGTCCTGCCATTGCTGAGCTACTTCCCAGAGCTGGCATGAATATATAAATGTACCAACAGCCCTGAACAACAGTGGGAGGGTGGGAGAGAGGCAAAAGCATTCCAACTGTCCCACCCCGCAGCGGGAGCGGCAGCCGAATCCCAGATAAAACCAAAGCAGTGCAACCCCCGCTCATGCCACCCTGCAATTTGGCCGTGCCGCTGGCATCACTCCTTTCTCCTGTCCCCCAGAGCGCTTGCTGAAGATGACACTGGAAGATTTACGGGAGTTCCTGCAGGAGAAAATCGCCGCTTCCCTGCAGTACGAGGATGATGCCGTCATCGAGCAACTGCAGGTGTCGATGACGGAACTGCGCAAGATGAAATTTGACCTCCCCCCGCCAGGTGGGTAGAGGGGAGGGCGGGCAGCCCGGCGGGAGTGGCCGGTGGTACCCGTGGCCCCTGGGGACCGGAGCATCCCTCTGGCGTGGCTGGCAGCCAGGGCTGGCACTGCCTAGGTGCAGCGTCTGCCTTCCCCGCAGCGGGGGGGGTGCTGGCTGCAAAAACGAACCCATGCACGCGGTTTGGGGTTTATTTTGTTTTCTCTCCTTCCAATGCAGCGAAGCCTGAGGAGTTCCCGCGGAAACCCCTGGGCCTGGAGCTCTCCCTCAACCCAGTAACCGTGAAAGGCAACGTGGCAGCCAACAGCCAGAATGGCCAGGTGGGCGAGCACCCCCCAGACAGGGACCCCCAGCCCCACAGAGCTCCCGGGGCACCGGGAGGAACGGTGGCGGTGGAGGCAAGGACTCCCACCCTCCGGGGCAGTGAAGCAGCTGAAGCGATGGACGTCCACCTGAATCCTCCTGGCAGGGGGCCGTCAGGAGATGAGGCTCAGGCAGTGGCCCCCGGGGACGGGCAACCGCTGCCTCTTCTGAAGGCAAGCGAGGTGCAGGCCCACCAGCCCCTCCTGCCCGCGGCCCTGCCTCCGGAGCAGCCTCTTCTCCCTCCCAGCCGTGACACGGCGGACCACGGGCCGGGCTCCCTCCCTGCCCTGGCCGAGCACACGTCCTTGGACTCCTCCCTCCAAAACACCCCGAGCCCTCCCGACTCGAGCACCGCTGAGCTTTCAGCTACAGACCACACGGTACGGCAGCCAAATCCTGCTGCCCCGCCGGCGGGCGCGCGAGCATCGTCCTTCCGCGAGGCGAAGGCGCTCGGGGCGCTCCCTCATCATCCTCCGGGGAGCTGGCAGCGGCCCCGGGGCACGCCGTACGGGGAGGAGGAGGCGGCCGGGGCGCGCTGCGGCGCGGAGCTGCCGGACGAAACGGACTGGAAGCGCTTGGCATCCAAAGCAGCGTCCACGGGGGAGCTGGCCGGCACGCCGCGGAACGGGCCGGGGGCGGGCAGCAGCGTGCCCGTGTTATGCGGCGGCGGCGGTGGCGGTGGGCCGGGGGTGACGGGGAACAGCCCCTACACCCTTATCAAAACCACCACTCCCCGCCAGCTGGCCCACGCGACGGAGCGGGACCTCTCGAACAGGAGGCAGGTGGCAGCGCCCCTGCCCGCCGCCTCCGCGCCGCCGCCGCCGCCTCTTGTGCTGGACCCGGAGGAGGTCGATGCCCAAAAAAGCCTCCAGAAACCATTAAACGCACTGAAAGCCCCACCGCCCCCGCTGAGCCCCAAACCAAAATTACCGCCACAGGTCGCCAAATCCCACTCGGAGAACAGTTTCCTTTCGGGCTCTCCGCCCCCGGCCAAGCTGCCCAAGTCGGTGACCTTCTAGTGGGGATGGGAGGAGGTGAGGGAGAGGAAGCGGGTGCTGCAGCAGCACCCTGGCCCTGTTTTCAGGACAGACACCCCCCCTTCAGCAGGGCTGTGTCGGGGTGACAGCACAACAGCCACCGCCTGCCAAGCTGTGCTTTGGTACAAGCGCCCAGCGAGGGGATGGAGTGGTGGCCGCCCGAGCCAGGAAGCACCAGCAAATTGGGTTTGCATCTCTCCTACGGACAAATTGGAAAGCGCTTTCGTTTTTGCGTTCCTCGAAGCTCCCCGAGCCTCGGCGCGTGCGTGGGGAGAGGCGGGGCTGGTGAATGTGTTGCATGTTTTCTTCTGCTCCTGCCCGCCGTGGGGACCCGTAGCTGCGGGCGCGGGTGCGAGGCATAGGGGTCCCAAAAGCTTTCTTTACGATGTCTGATCAGCGCAGCCGGCGGCATTGCTTTCAAAAGCTTTCGTAGCAATAGATCTTGGTTTCTTTTCCCAGCGCTGGAGGCGGCAGCACTTTGGGGCAGGGCCGTGGGGTTCTGCTGCCTGCTTGGGGCCTTTCCGTTGGCTGAACAGGAGAAGCGGCTGCTGCCTCAGGAAACCTCCTGCCTTCGCTAGCGAGCGGCTGGAGTGGTGATGGTGTCCAATCGCGGCGCCCGAGCCGAAGCCCACTTTTACTTTGAGCAAGTTAAGCGCCAGGGTGGAAATGGCACAGGGGCTGGGGAAGGGGAGCACATCGCCCAGAACCTCATCTCGGCCCTTCTGGGTTAGCCCACCCAGAAATCAACAGCTAAGAAAAGCAACCTGAGGTTTGGAAGATGCTGCTGGCGAGCATCCGGGTCACCACAGCCCACTGCTGAGGAGCTAAAGCAGTGGCTGCCCACTCGTGCACCAAGTCCCGGTGCCCTGGCCCTCCCCTCCCCGTCCCGGGATGTCGCTGCTGCACAGCCCAAACTGTTGGCTGAAGGTGTGCAGGGACGCGGGGGCAGCTCGCCCCGCTGAAAGAGCTGGGCCAAACTCCTGTTCCCTGTAGAAGGGGCTTCATCAGGGAGGAGGTTCAGTGGAAGCAGGAGGAGATAAACCAGTCCAGGTGTGCTGGATTTGGCTCAGCTGTCCGGAAGGGGTGGCTGCAGATGCCACCCGAGGTGGGGCTGCGGGTGGGCGTCCCGTCCTTCAGTGGAGACCCTGGGCAAAAGCTCCTTTACAGCCCGAGCAGGCTTTGAAAACTGATTTTTATCTGGCTGCTTCGGCAGCGTACCCTACCTGCAGCCTACCCGGAAGCCCAGCAGGAAACTTCCACTAAGTTACTTTGCGGGGTCTTATCAGGTGGTTTGTTTCCTGGTGTGCGTGGGGTGGTTGATCTTAGCAGCAGGGAGAGCGTCGGAGGGAGCACCCCGTCTGTTTGCATGTAGCCAGCCACACCACAGCACCCTCAGCTTCTGCCGCAAACCCTGCTCCGACGGAGACCCCGGCTTCTGCTGAGTCTCCAACCTTCCCTCTCCCTCTGCAAAGCCGCGATAATGCCATTAGCTACCTCGCAGGGGCGGTGTGGGGAGCCACGAGTTGCTCTTTGAGGCCAAGTGCTGTATGAATGTTCAGTATTTGTGTTTTGAGACACCACGGGTCTTTTTCTAGGACAATGGTGCTTGAATTGGTTTTAATTTACAGTATGTTTTTTTTTTTTTTTCAGTAACCGTGCCATGGTTAAACGTGTCTGTGTGTTAAAATACCTGGGCAGTATTTCAGGACAGGTATCAGTTGCCTTTTGCTAGCAGCCCCCCGGCCTCTGGAGCTGGCCAGGAAGCAGTGAGACACGGCTGAGGGCTGGTGGTCACCCCCTTGCCTGGGTTTCTGTAGCTTGGGGGTTTGTCCTCTCCTTGAAGCGCACATAGGACTCCTGCTAACGCATCTATTTGGCTCATGCATGCAAGACCTGAGACCTCTTTCCCCTCATTTTGACCATTCCCCCCCCCCCCCCCCCCATTTCAAGCATGCAGCCTTTGCACATGGTGTTGCGTGTGCGCCCAGGCTCCTCACCCAGCACGTCCCTGGGCTGTTTTGCAGTATTCACATTCTCAAAGGTGGTTTGCTCTAATTTTGGAGACCCAGCAAATGCCCACTACCCATTGCATGACATTTAGTGCCTGTTCAACAAGAATTTGGGGGGCGGGGGGGAAAGGGGAGGAGGGGGTTCCTCCCCTCCAAGCCCTAACAGGCATGAGCAGCAAGGTCCTTGGCCACCACCGAGCCTGGGGGAAGCCACCAGCTGGCTTCAGCGTCCTCTGGCGCGGGCAGACACGGGCTCCCTGTGTCCCACCAGCGTGCTTCTTGCTGGGAAGGTCTCCGACCTAAACCACTTGCCCCCCTGCCTCAGCCCCTCAGCAAAAGCCACCCTCGCCCCAAGCAAACTCAGGAAAGCCGCTCCCGCCACCATTGCCCTCGCGTGACTCTCACCTTCCTGCCCTCCCTCTACTTCTAAAGACCAACGTTGTGGGTTTGGGGGTTGTTTTGGGTTTTTTTTTTTTTTTTTTTTTTGTTTGTTTTTTTTTATTTTGGTTTGTAATTGAGCACTTTGAGCGGCTGTGGCACCGGCGGGCATCAGGAGCCACGGGCCGGCGCTGGGGACCAGCTCCCGCCTGGGACAGCGGGTGAGGTCGGGGGCTCTTGGCTGTGCACTTCAAGAGCCTGGCTGCCATCTGCTTCTCTTTTTACTTGCTATTCTTGTTTACAGCGTGAAACGCTTCCTCCGTGACTCTTTCTAATGTATTATAATTATTACTTTTAAAAATACATTTTTATGTCTGTGCTTTTTTATTTTTTTTTTTCTTTTCCCTTTTGTTTTTCTGTGGGTTTTTTGTAAGAAAGTTTTTTTGGGGGGAAAAAAAAAAAAAAAAAAAAAGTCATTCCTTTTTACGCTGATCCAGACTGTCCAGAGTATTTGATGCTGTTTTACATGGTTGTAATGGTAACCGTTAAAGAAGTTGAGCATAAAATCGGGCTCCGCGAGGTTTCTTATGGCAGCAGATGCGGCAGCAAGACCTTCTCCCGCCGGCTTTTAGCTTCTTTCACCCGGTGCGCTTCAGCTGAAGCCGGTCAGGCCGCTCCCGTCTCCTCCCTGGTTTTCTACCGCAGTTAAATCCAGGCAGCCCCAGCAGCAGTGGAAAGAAAACGGCTCCTTCCTACACAGCGCCGTCCTCTCCCAGCTCGCCGAGCCAAGGGCCCCCTGCACATCCCCGCCGACACGCGGCCGGGCGCCGGCAGCCCGCTCCAGCTTCCCGTTTCGGCCGAGGTTGCAGGTTTGGGGGTTGTTTTCCTGCCCCCCCCCTCCCCGGGCAGCGCTGGGAGAGCCGGACAGGCCAGGGAGTGGGTGGACGCAGGTCCTTGGGTGGGAGTGGGTGGGTGGGTGCGACACCGCGTGAGTCAGGGCTGAGTCATGCTCACGCCAGGCGCGGGGAACATGCGCGGGTGCCGCTCGGGGCTGGGAATGGCATTTAAAAATCTGTGCGTGAGCAGCACCTCTGACACACCCCATTTTCCCTGTGCTTAGATGCCCACGGTGCTGCTGGCTTTGAGGGGTTAAATTTGGGCAGTATTCTGGTTTCCCCTAAGAGAAAGCTGCCGTTTGGTACTTCAGCAACACGGTTAAGGGTGAAGGCAGGGTCAGCTGTCCAGCAGAGCAGCACGGAGGGCACAAAGACCAGCAGCAAAACGGAGGGGCCAGGATTAGCTAACCGCCACCCCAGGATTTAAGGGCAGTGCAGGAAATGGGGCATCCCCCGGTGGGCTGGTATTCCTGCTTCTAACAGGGCTCTGCCTCACCTCAAAGAGGTCAAACAGGAACAAAAAGAGCTCCTGCGCTGTTCTCCAGCGTCCTGGTTAGCTCATTTATATTAACTGGTTCAAAGCTGGTCTGCAACCCTGTGAAAAAAAAAAAAAAAAAAAAAAGCCAGCACCAGCAAGCACCACAGTGGAGCAGCAGTGCGGCGAGGCTGCAGCTCTGGGCACACCTCCCGTGTCGTTTCACGCTGGATGCCAGCCCAGGGATGCTCCACCGCGACATCCCGGGGGCTGGAGTGAAGCAAACGTCGGCCTTGCCGTGTTTCCAGGTGCCCACGAGCAGCCCAGTGGCACAAGCTGCTCTGTGCCACCTCCTGGCCAACAGCCCCGGTGAACCTGTGGGCTTTCTGGTGGCACCGAGGAAGCAGAGAGTTGGGAGGGGGTTTGAGCAGCTGCAGCAGTTACCTACTTGAAGGGCATCACAGGGTTGAGGATATGGCATTTATCCGATTGCTGGGAGAGCTTCAGCTCCGCGCTGCCAAGGAGGGAGCAGAAGTGTCCAGAAGGGCAGGGTTTCCCCCCCGGGGGAAGCTGACTCACGCTAGATTTAAGGGACGTGGCAGGCAGAGTCCTGTTCCTCTCTGAAACAGCCTCGGTTCGCTTGGTCATGGGGAAAAAAAAGAAACGGAGTAAGACATTGCTTACTGGCAGCCCTGGGCCCCGCGCCCCACGCGTGTGGCCTGGCTGTGGGAGGGTGCTGTCACCCGGCTGCTGCAGGGACGGGGGGGCAGGAGGGGCTCCACCACATCCCCTGGCAGCATCCTTCCAGCTACATCAGGAGCCGCAGCGGTACCCAGCCTAGAACGGGTACTGAATGGCGGGGGGGGGGGTCCCAGGTAGGGTTTTGGGGCTCAGGTCGCAGAGGATGTGGTAAGCACCCACTGCAGAGAGTCCTCCCCAGGGGGAGGCCACCCCTGGGACCTCCCTCCCTTACCAGAGAAGAACTTGAGGTGGACACAAGCCATGCCTGGTGTCCAGCCGAGGCTAAATGCCCGGCCTCCAGCTGGTGCCAGCACAACAAGTGCTGGTGTCCCGAAGGGGACAGGAGTGGAGACGGCCCCTGCACCAGTTGCGCAGCCCCCCCGCCCCTCCTCCTACGCCCCCCAGGGCCTGGACACTGCTCCCAGTAGACCAAGAGCAGGACAGCTGCGTAGCCCCCAGCCCAAGCTTACCGATACCCATTTGCCAGACAGCGCTGGGACCAGTGGCAGATGAACTCTGTAGATGGCCTCAAGGTTGCTGCTTAAATCCTAACGGCCAGGCGCCTGTCCTGCTGCCTCTCCCCCCGCACCTGGCATTTGCCAGCATTCCCATTAAATCCCCCCCGCTTTGCCTGGTGGAGCCACTGTTCTTCTCGAAGTTTTCAGACAACTCCCCGACTCCCAGGGCTGGCCCCTGCCCAGAAACCACCCCAAGCCCCACGAGCTGCACTCAGCGCTGGTGCCCGACGGCTCCAGTCCTCCCCGGCTCCTGAGCAGCCGAACTGGGACAGGCGGGATCTGAACTGGGACAGGCGGGATCTGAACTGGGACAGGCAGGTGGCTGCGTCGCTCCCTGCCACTCGCTGGCTGCCCGCTGACTAACTGGTGCGAAGTGGAGGCTGGAGCAGAGGCGAGCCGAGGCGGGGGGGCAAGGCTTGGGGTTGGTTTAGGATGCAGCAGGGGGGGGGAGAGGGAGATGGGTGCGCTGTGTACGGGAGCTCTGCACCCCAGCCAGTTTGGCAGAGGCGCTGCCTGGGAGCCTTCCTCCTCCTGGGCCTCCCGTGCTGCTTGGCTGGCGCTCGCGTGCCGCTGCGCGGCTGGTGCGCTCCACGCGCGCTGCAGAGGGGCTGTGGCAGCCGTGGCTGAGGGTCGGGGAGCAGAGGGCCCCCAGAGCTCGGGGCGTGCAGCCCCCAGCCCCAGCAGCCTTGGCTCTGCTGGAGCACAGACCCCGTACTCAACCCACGGAGAGAGCGAGGCTTACCTGCCCTGGGGGAACGAAGGGGCCAGCCCCACCTGCCCGTCCCAGTTCCCACCAGTTGCTGGTGGCCGGGATGTCTGCTGTCACACCATCCTCTGAGCAATGCCACCCCCCTTCCTACAGCACATCATGGGGTATAAACCAGCACACGGAGAAAAATAACAGCCTGGCAGCTGGGAGAGTCAGGTCTGACCCCTTCCCAAACCATCTCCCAAATGCTACAACCTCAGCGGCCGAGGGAGCCCCCAGGGCACACCCCAGCATCCTGGTAGCAAGGCAATCGCACTCGCCTGACGGGACGTGGGCACCACAACAGTGCAGGAGATAAGCAAACCAGAGCTGAAACAGCTCAGCCAACGTCTCACAGCAGCTGGTCCCACACCACGAGCGTCCCTACTCGCTGGCAGCCGTTACAAAAGAGCCCAAGATGGGGATGGAGATGGCTCTGAAGGCACACACAAAGACACCAGGCCAAGGGCTTGGAGTCACTAAAGCCTGACTTACTTAGCTCTATTCTTCCACACAGTAAAACAGGCTCTTCCTCAGACCCAGAGAAAGGTTAACTGTTAAGAAACTTCCAGCCTTGCTCCAGAACTGGTATGAGGTCCCTGGAGGCACCCGCAGACAGATGGGGTGCAATAGCACAAGCCCCTGCTTCCAACCACCCCACTAAGAGCCACTCAGCCCAGCCCCACGCCAGAGCCCTGCTCCGGGGGTGCCTAAGCCTGCAGCTCGCTCAGGCAGGCAGCTGCTTGGGGAAGCTGGTTCTTGGGTGGCTTTGGTTACCTTCACAGCTCCTGGTGGAGCCAAAGAGAAGCGATACGAAGCACCGCTCAGCCTGGAAGGGTCTGCAGAAGGGGCCGGGGCTGAAGGGAAACCTGCTCTGCTCTGCTCCTCCTTGCCCAGCCACACTGCAAGTGAGGAGGATGAGGCCAGCATTTAGCCAGGGCTGCCTTGTGAAACTCAGCCTTTCGTTCAGCTACCTCCCCCCCCCAGCCCCGGTCTCTCTCCAGCAATAAGTCATTGCTGCCAGCTCCTGCAAACTCAACCCAAAGCCTTCAGCAAGCACCATGCGCTCATCTGGTTTGGAGTCGCCATCTCCGCCGGCTTAGGAAAACACTTCTGTGGAAGCCCTCACAGACCAAGAGGCATGAGAGCTATTCCAGCACTTAATCAGCATCTCTTTAAGGACTTGCAAGCGATTTTGTCAGTTGACTCAGCTGTGATGTCTCTGGAGCCCCAACCACTCCGTAACAGGGTGTGGGGTGCTGGAAAGATGTGGGAGAGAAAAGCTTACACGTCACTCCTGAACCATCTGGACCTGACCAGACCAAACCAGACCAGGCCTCCTCAGCTATTCCATCATTTCAGTACAGGTTCAAAGGTGGCACTCCTCCATCACGGGAGATGCAGCCTCAGCAGATCATCAGCACGACGCTGCCCGAAGCCACCTCAGGGGCGGTGTTCACACCTGCCCAAGATGCACAGCACAGCACCAGGTTTAGTCCCAGCCTTGCCATGACCGGCTGACGAGATCACAGCAGCCAAACGTGAGCTGATGTGCCCAAATATAGCAAAAAGTTTGCTTCTGTGGACCTCTGCAGCTTCCAGCTATGCAACTGGAGCGGCTCTTCAGAGTAACTGCACGTTCTGCTCACCTAAGCTCCTGCCACAGAAGCAGAACTGAGACAGGCAACAAACTCCTTGTCGGAAGGGAAATGGTTGCAATACCTGAAAACCACATCTTTCAGTCCGGATACTTCTAGAACAAATGCGCCTTAAATAATCACGGGGAAAATCAGCTAAATGGACTCCAAACTCCTTCTCCAGACCTACCTTCACTCCAGTGACACTGTAACCCTGATCCTACCTTCAGACTCCAGGAGTTCAGCTAGCAAGCAGAGAGCACACCGTGAATTCATACACTGACCTCCCCCCGCCTGTCACGACCAGCAAGTTGTGATCCCGTCACCCAAATTACCAGCACCAAGTCAGCCAGTGAAAATGCAAAGTCCAAACAGCTCCACCTGAGAAGTGCTACCATCTGGGTTTTGCCCGCCCCAAAGATCAGCCCGGTGTGGATGGATCTTACTGTGCATTGAAGGAAGATCTGTCGCGACCCTCCCGAAGCCAACCTGCTGGAGGAGCGCACTGCAGTACATTCATACATTAAAGAGCCGCGGTCTCCAGCTTTTAG